GCGATTGACACCTCAAAGTCGCAATTTTTCCTCAGTTTTTGACGTCCAACGTCCATTTCGTGCGTAAGGGTTGCGCGGGACACCTCAAAGTCGCAATTTTTCCTCAGTTTTTGACGTCCAACGTCCATTTCGTGCGAAAGGGTTGCGATTGACACCTCAAAGTCGCAATTTTTCCTCAGTTTTTGACGTCCAACGTCCATTTCGTGCGTAAGGGTTGCGCGGGACAAGTAAAGTCGCAATTTTTCCTCAGTTTTTGACGTCCAACGTCCATTTCGTGCGAAAGGGTTGCGCGCGACGCTTCAAAATCGCAATTTTACCTAGGTTTTGGACGTCCAACGTCCATTTCGTGCGAAAGGGTTGCGTTTCGTGGCGCTCCGGCGGCACCGCCCCCGCCTTAAGAGAGAATAGAAAGAAGAGCGAGAGGAGATCTGCAGATGTGAGGGTGTGAAGATGTAGATCTGCAGATGTGAGGGTGTGAAGATGTAGATCTGCAGGTGTGAGGGTCTGAAGATGTAGATCTGCAGATGTGAGGGTGTGAAGATGTAGATCTGCAGATGTGAAGGTGTGAAGATGTAGATCAGCAGATGTGAGGGTGTGAAGATCTAGATCTGCAGGTGTGAGGGTTTGAAGATGTAGATCAGCAGCTGTGAGGGTGTGAAGATGTAGATCAGCAGATGTGAAGGAGTGAAGATGTAGATCAGCAGATGTGAGGGTGTGAAGATCTAGATCTGCAGGTGTGAGGGTGTGAAGATGTAGATCAGCAGATGTGAGGGTGTGAAGATGTAGATCAGCAGATGTGAGGGTGTGAAGATGTAGATCAGCAGATGTGAACAGCAGATGTGAGGGTGTGAAGATGTAGTATAACGGCTGCTTTTTTACGAAGAACCCTTCGCAGGCGCTCTCGGGAAAAATGTTCCAAACCACCAACCAGTGAATAATATATGGTTAATAGTCGGTAATAATGGTTGATAGTCTTTAATAATGGTCATAGTCGTTAATAATGGTTACTAGTCGTTAATATATGATGAATACTACATGTTGTGTTGCAGGTATGGTTGACAACCTAGGCTGAGAACCTTCACATGCATCAAGTAACAGTCGAACCCAACACATCCAACACATATACGTAGGAATATGATGTCCTTAACCACTATTAACGACTATTAACCACTATTAACGTGGTTTATAGGAATTTTATACATAGAAATGGTTAATAGTCGTTAATAGTGGTTATAATGCCGAATGTTCTCGTTCAGCCTAAATCTTTACCCCTTATAGCACCCATCTGTTCTATCTAACCATCCAATCTACCCATCTGCCGTACGGGGTTGTCTCAAATTAGGTAATCCCAAAATCCAATATTGTTTAAAATATCCTTTTCCCATCACTTCCCTATTACTTCCCCATGATTCCATGACCATAAATTGGGGTATCCAACCCACTATCCAACCCATTTCCAGATCAATGTTTCATCGCACCAGTCCACGATCCTAAAAAAAAAACTTTTCTCACAAAAAAAACGCAATCACAATCTACAATCTGTTCCAAAACCATGAAAACTTAGACTTCACCATCCGACTTCACCAACCATACCCTCTGGTAATTTCACATAGCCGTTGACAATTGCCATCTATAGTTGATCTAAAAATATTATCATGATTTTAATAGCGATTTTCGATGGCAAACTGCTAGTTTAGAGGCTAAATCCTCATTTCATCCCCATTGTTGCTGGGTATATTCCATATGGTGGTTTCCTAAAATGGTACCCCCAAATCCCAAAGAAAAAACAATTTTAGTATTGAAACCGCTGACTTGGGGACTTGGGGTACCACCATTTTAGGACACCTCCTTCTACATTTGTAATTATTTATTTTATATATATATATATTATATAGTATATATATTATATTATATTATATATAAATATTATATTATATATATATGTGTATATTGTATAAATATTATATTATATATATATTCTACAAGGTATTCCCATGGATTGCCATGGCAATATGGAGCTTCGCCATATGTTACCAGTGCAATTTGGATTACCAGCAGGGTCAGCATGATATCTCCATCATCCAAATCCCGAAAAAACATGACATAGAAATTTCGAGGTAGCCCATGTATCCCAGTTATTGCTAGGTATATTCCCACAGAATTCCCTATAAATCCCTATAAATTCCTATAGAATCCCCACAAAATTCCCATGAAATCCCTATAATTTTCCATAAATAATTTTCCATAAATCCCTATAAAATCCCTATAATTCCCTATAAATCCCTATAGAATCTCTATAAAATCCTATGAAATCCCTATCAATTCCCATCGAAAATCCCATCGAAATCTCCGCCTCCGCCACGCGCGGCAAGCCCAGCACCGCGCGCGCCGTGGGACGCTGGAAGTGGCCCAGGATCCGTCGACGCTCCTGGCGATCCTCGGTAGCGTCAGACGTAAAGTTAGGGGGGGTTCACCATGGTTCACCATGGGTTGGTTATGGTTGGTTTATGGTTGGTTTATGGTTGGTTTATGGTTGGTTTATGGTTGGTTTATGGTTGGTTTATGCCATAGAAATGGTGAGTTTTCCCATTAGAAATGGTGATTTTCATGGTTAGTAGTGGTTAATCAGTGCTAATAATGGTTTATAATGGTTAATAATGGTTAATAATGGTTAGTACATGTTAACTGGTTGGTGGTGCAATAACCATCTTGAAAAATATGAGTCAATGGGAAGGATGACATCCCATTATGGAAAATAAAAGCCATGGTTAGTAGTGGTTAATAGTGGTTAATATGGTGAATATTGGTTAGTGGTTAATTATTAACCACTATTAACAATATTGTGGTGAATAGTGGTGAATAGTGGTGAATAGTGGTGAATAGTGGTGAATAGTGGTGAATAGTGGTGAATAGTGGTGAATAGTGGTGAATAGTGGTGAATAGTGGTGAATAGTGGTGAACAGATGTTGATATAGATGTGAATATAGTTAATCATGATTAATCATAGTTGGTAATGGTTAACAGTTCTTGATAATGGTTGATAATGGTGAATAATTGGTTGTGGTTGATGAAGAATGGTTTCAAATTTGGTTGATACTGATGAAGAATGGTTAATATTGGTTGACACTGGTGAATATATAATGGTTGCATAGCGGTTGATGTTAGTAACGGATACCCTCCGGTGTCATCAAACATGGCTAGCTTGGAAATCCTGGTGGTTTGCTGGGAGATTATCGTACCCTCAGGTAGTTTAACAGTTTGCTATTGAAAATGGCCCAGTCGAAATAGTGGATTTTCCCATAAAAAATGGATGGATCTTTCCATAGTTTTTTTGTTAACGTTTACCAAAGGTTGAGGGGAGTGATTTTTGGAGCCAAAATCATGGGATCTATCATGGATTTTTTTTCCGATGCTTGAGGCAGTTGGGGCTGAGATTTCACCACAGGGGGAATATCTCCTATGAAGTTTGCGACCATGGTTACCATCTGGTTATTTAACATAGCCATGGAAAATCACCATTTTTAATAGGTAAACCATCTATTTCTATGGGCCATCTATACCATGGCTATGTTAGTCATAACCAGCGGGTAATCATGTGTTTTTTATTGGTGAATCCCCAAATAATGCCATCCCCCCCATATGAAACACCCCCCCTTTTGTTGTTTACACCCAGTAATTTCTTGTCCAATCCCCTACATCCACCGTGGTTTCTGTTGGTAAATACCCTCTGGTTATGACTAACAGTTTGCCATGGTATAGATGGCCCATAGAAATAGATGGTTTACCGTCCAAAAAATGGTGGATCTTTCCATGGCAAACTGTGAAACAACCAGATGGTAAGTGCTGATAATGATAAACCATACTGATAGATATAGAGGTTCATCATGTGATATGAAAACTGATACTGAACATGTCAATGACAACTAAGAATCAACAATGTCACATTGTTATTCTCAATGCAATGTGTATATATATATGTAACAGTTCATAATAGCGATCATGATAGTGATCTGATCTGATAACAGTTCATAATAGTAAGAAATGTCAATATATATAAATAATAAAACTGTTGCAGCAATATCATGTAGTATACATCTATAAATTTCAAAATCGTCTGCAAAAACGCTAAAATATAGAGAATTACTATACAATTGAGTTATTGATATAATCATATTGCGCTTTGACATAGGATTGATGCTAACTTTCCAAGTTTTTGGACGTTGCACTTTTTTTATTGTTGCAACTGATCAAAAGATCAACCACTTGAAGGCTGCAAGGTCAGAATTGCTACGAAGCAATAGTTGCAACAATATACTGCAGCACAAAGATACAGTAGAGAAAAGATACACAACATCTGTTTAAAAAAACGACTAGGGATTTGAAACCTGCGAAAGTCTACATGCCATCCCACTCTCCCGGAGCGATTTTCACACGGCTCTCAACGCGGGGATTGGCTGATTCTTAGGAGAACCCCTTCGCGGGCTCAAAGATTGACCCCACTTGTGACTGTGTCCACATTTTTTGGGTCAGAGCACAGTTTTAAATCAGTGACCTTCAGCAACAGATTAGCAACTATATTTACTTTGGGGCTGCCAATAATCTATATATCTCAGCAATTAGATTCTGAAAATTAGATATCATACATAAGACAATGGTTGTCACCAGCTAACCAAACAGCTACTTCAAATAACTAATATCTACCTACAGCTGCCGACAAGTTGTCATCCACCAATTTTCTAAATTCAAAAATTCACGCATATCTGCATGTTTTTTTTGGGGTGCAAAAATCATGTACAAATAATTAACATTAAGTAACTCACAAAAATTGGTGAGATATTGGTATCCCTATAGACATATCATAACTAGCATTAAGATACATTAATTATCCAACAAAAAATGTTGAGATATTGGTACATTAGCAACAGATACATTAAGACACATCATAATCATCCCTATAGACATAATTATAATCATCTAAGTCTAATACCTATAGAATCCTATAAACAATACAAACTCAAAAAAAATGCTTCACACTTGACGTCTCCGATGCCGTTAGGAGGTCAGGGCCAGCAAGTTCTCAGCCGCGACGTGCGCCTGGGAACTTGAAGCCCAGGTAGGGAATTGTTTCTAGAGATTACCGTATCAATGTGGATATTCTCTGGCTGAATGATAGCGAGGAATAAGCAAAACCAATGGTTTTCTCAATGGGGATATCATGCGAATATAGTAGGAAATCCCTCTGGTAAACTAACTTAACATAACTTAACTATGGGAACTCACCATCTAGGTAAATCAACTATTTCTATGGGCCATGTTAGCAAACTGTAACAAATTCCCAGAGGGTATACCAATATAATGGGGATTGTACTGGCATTAAAGGGATTACAATAGGGATTATAGTTGGTATGTTGATGATGGTGATGATGATGGTGATGATGGTGATGATGATGGTGATGATGATGACGATTATGATGATGATGGTGATGATGAATACCATTTGATGTTTTAACATATATTTAAACGCTAAACCAAGCTTTGACAATACACCAACTATTTTATAGGGATTTGCTGGCCATTCGAAGAACTGCAAATTTGTGATGATGTGCGTACATAACCGGATAGTTCATATGAGACCCAATGGATTCATTGAAAATAACATTTACAGTAACTCATGGTTTTTACCATCAGATATAATACAGGGCTCAAGTAAAGAAAACCAGTTCACCAAGTCTCAGAATGAGTCTATGAGGGGTACTGTAATCTACCCTGATGAATATATATATATATAATTAAATATATATATATACAGTATCCACCTGTAGACTGTATTCCCCATTGTTTGAATGGTAATGTTTCATTTCCATTCTGCATTACCACAACAATATTACATTTTCTGCTTTATATACATCCCTCTCTTTCTGCGACAATCATCCGACATAGACATGGAACTGGGAATTACACCAGCAGCCAGACATGATTGACATTGGGAAATTTGGGCGAGTCGTCAAACTGTGTGCCCCAAACACAAGAGCTTCAAAACATCATTTTGCCCATTCAATGAACCACAAATCCTGGTATAGCATGCTTAGCCGCAACAAAAGAAGTCGTATTGTAGCTGTTTATCTAGAGTAAATATTCCCATAACATGGTACAAAAACTCAACTGATTCACCAACCTAAAATTCGGCCATGGGGTGATCTCCGACCAGACTCCATCCCAATCCATTGGTTCCATGAGCAAAAACTATGACACCAGGATTGAAAATGGTGGAAAATCATGAACCAAATCCATTATCAGAATCAAAATTCCATTTTCTTCATCATATTCATTAGATTTCCATTTGTTTCTGGGATTATCCCCTCTAAATCCAATATGAATCCAATATAAATCCTCTAAATCCTCTAAATCCTCTAAATCCAATATAAATCCCTATAAATACAATATTTCCATGTGTAAATGATTCGGTCTCACATCGCGCCATCGACCTGGACCTTCACGGAGCGCGCCTCGATACCCGTGAAGAGTTCCACCAACCACTTCTCCACTTTGGGGTCGAAACGGATCAACCTGCGCCCGGTGTGGAACGGTCAGAATGATGTTTTCTCGGATGCCGGAGATGCCATTCAGAATGGTGCCAAGTGACGTACAAATGGTGCTGTTGTAGACTTTTCCTTGACTTGATCGCAGCTTCACAATCTTTGCCTTCCTTGGCGAAGAAGAGTAAAGCCCAAGGGATCAGTCAAAAAAACGGCAGAAAGAAAACTGGATCAACGTGCGGATGGATGATCTCCCACCCTACATTTGACATGGAATCCAAATATGGGAATGTCCAAACGAAAAGTTATCTTCCAACTTCAATTGTTGGAATTCCGCGTTAAGTTTTGGGGCGGAAGTAATTTTGAAGAATCAATGTAATCAACAAAGACAAGAACTCAACAAAAATTGGTGGATGTCAACCGCAACCCCTAGAGGACCATCCAGGTAGGATCGCACAAGTCTACCCTAGTGGAATGTATTTGGGTATTGGGATGCGTATCCCACTTGGCAATCATGGATATGCACTATTTTTATTTGGATGTTCCCTCCGGTTAAACAATATACAATACAATATAATATAACATAATATAATATAACATAATAAAATAAAATAACGTAATATAATATAATAATATAACAATGGCATAATACAATTTAATGAAATTTAATAAAATAAATATAATATGCTTGTAAAAAATATGATATAACAAAACATAACATAATATAATATACAAAATTAAAATATAACATAATACAACCTAACATAAAATATATATACAATACAAGTAAAAAACAATATATATATATATATATAATAGCATAAAGTACTACCATATAAAATAATATAATATAAACTATATATATAATATGATATAATAAAATCAAATATACTAATGTATAATATGATACAATATAATAATAAAATATAATATAATATACTATAATACCAGTAGTACCGCACAAGGCGGTGGCGGAAGTTTCAAAAATAGGAAACATATGGGAGAGGCTGGTTGCTGTGAATCACGAATGGCAGAACGAATCCACTGATGGACCGAAAGGTGGTTGAGGTCTCCTCTCTTTCTCTCTCTTTCTTTCTCTTTCTCTGACTATCTACCTACCTACCTACCTATCTATCTATGTATCTATCTCTCTCTCTCTCTCTCTCTCTCTCTCTGTCTGTCTGTCTATCTATCTACCTGTCATCTGCAAGCTTGAAAACTAAGCAATTCTGCGAGAATTCCTCAATTTTTGAACTTAACAACGTCAAAAACGAAACAATTCTGCGAGACCTCTTTGATTTTTGAACCTAACAACGTCAAAAACAAAGCAATTCTGCGAGACTCCTTCAATTTTTGAACTTGACAACATCAAAAACAAAGCAATTCTGCAAAACTTCCTTCAAAAATTGAAAGTTGAGTGCAGCGCTGACAACCTGGTACCAATGCGTTTTGCAATTTTTCCACTCCACCTCTCTAAAGTACTGCGCCTGCCACGAAAAATTCATGCCAGATCATACGAAGTGCTGCACCTGTCACGCAAAATCATCTTAGCAAACCTACGGATCTGATGCTCCAAAACGCAACCCCTCTCAGGAAATCAGCGCCCGCTCCTAACATCTCTCATGAACATGTCTTTTGTACTGCGCCTGCCACGGAAAATTCATCTTTGCAGATCCTCTTCAAATGTCCCACGCCTGCCATCGTTTTTGGAAATGCAACAAAACCCTCACGTCTTGCTCACTTTTGACAAGGTGCACAATCCCTTGCGCCTGCCGCGCGAAACGACGTCTGAACCTCCAAAAGTGGCGCGAACATGTGGTGTTTTGTACATGTTGACTTCGAAATGTGTTTCGCGCCACAACGGCGTCCACTTTTTCGACATCTCAACTTCCAAAAGTGGTCCGAGCATGGTGTGCTTTGTACATTTTGACTTCGAAATGTGCTTCGCGCCACAACGGCGTGCACTTTTTCGACATCTCAACTTCCAAAAGTGGTCCGACACTGGTGCCTTGTGCATTTTGACTTGGAAATGTGCTTCGCGCCACAACGGCGTGCACTTTTTCGACATCTCAACTTCCAAAAGTGGTCCGACACTGGTGCCTTGTGCATTTTGACTTGGAAATGTGCTTCGCGCCACAACAGCGTGCAATTTTTCATCTCTCATCTGGCCAGCTGGCTCCGCACCCACCGCTTTAGCAAGCCTACTTTTCGACCCTCCGGAGCCACAAATCATTGGAAAAACACAGTGTTTCGCGACTTTCCTACTTTTTCGCGCATCTGCATCTTCTTTCTTCTGGCTCTTTCTCTTCTATCATCTACTCTCTTCTGCTCTTCTCTTCTCTCTGCCTCTTCCCATCTCTGCTTTTCATCTGTCCATATTGTCGGAAGTTTGACTTCTAAGCTTCCTTCGATAATATAATACAATATTTAAAAAAAATATAACATAACATAACATAATATAATTAGTATAATAAAAAAATATAATACAATATAATATAATATAATATTATATTATACAATATAATATAATATTCTATAATATAATATTATATTATATTATATTATACAATATAATATTATACAATATAATATAATATTATATTATATTATACAATTTAATATTATATTATATTATACAATATAATATTATACACTATAATATAATGTAATATAATATAATATGATATAATAGGTTTCAATATAATATAATATAATATGATATAATATAATATAGTACAATACAATAAATTACATTATAATATAATATTATATTATATAATAAATTTTAATATAATATAATATAATATAATATGATATAATATAATATAATATAGTATAATAAAATACAATACAATAAATTATATTATAATATAATATAATAAAATACAATACAATAAATTATATTATATTATAATATAATATAACACAATATAATAAAATATAATACAATATAATAGAATATAATATCATATCATATAATATAATATATATAATTTAGCATAAAATAAACTAATTTAATATAATATATTATAATATGTTACAATTTAATATATTACAATATAATATAATCTAATAAAATATAATATAGTATAGTACAGATTAATATAATATAATAAAATCACATATAATATATTATAATATATGAAATTATCTAGGTCTATAGATCTGGATTATTAATCACTGTGGCCTTCCATCCAATGCCAACTTCAGCTCGCCAGGTCACAACTGCAAGTGCTGAGGAGCCATTGCAGCCTGGTGTCTCGGTTGTAGCAGCTAATGTGGTGAACCCTGGCTGCCATAAACCTACCATTTGGGGATGGTCTTTACAACCGATTTATAGTTTATATACTGATTTGGGGGATGGTTTGTTGTTGGATTTACCACATTAAACATCATAGCTAATTTTGGGGGATTTAACCAAAATTTCCCACAGTGGCCCGCAATGATAGTTTTTCCTTTAGCCTTTGCTCGTGGTTACTGCTGGTTAAAAGGCCCTTGAAAAATCTTATCCATTGAGGGGCGTCACCTTTGGGGTGGCGGTTAGATCGCCATATCTGAAAAACATCCCTTTCCTTACTGAAAACCCACTGGAGCCCCAAGCGTAAAAGGTGTTTGACGGAATTTCAGGTTTGGTTTATAATGTTTGCAGAATGGGTTCGATATTACACAAAGGAGAACACCAAAAAACACGATCTAGAGCAAGATTTTCTGCGCGAAGGAAAGCACCAGAAAGCACACTTTTGACACGAAGGAAAAACACTCAAGACAAAGTTTGCCCAAACTATAACTAATCCAATTTTTGGAGGTCACAGCTATGAGAACAGTTACAATCTATATTGCAATTTTAAAATCACCAGTCCCCTTGACATCACCCCGGACAGCGTGGTTCCAAATTGGCACCTTCCTGCCATCCCTCAACTGGCAGATCCACTTCCCATCAGCTGCAGGCTGCAGCAAGGTACAGGTCCTTTGCAGCAAGGTACAGGCCGCAATGATTTGGTGCAGTGAGCATCCATGGGGATATAAACCAAACTAGTGATTGAGGTTAATTTCACACTTATTTTCATCTAATGACCTAACACTTGTTTGAATGAATCCCACTGACGCTTCTTGGAATGCACATCCTCGCGATCTGTTGGATGCGGCGCTGGAAGTTCATGGCTAACTTTAGGTGCCGTGGACCCAGATGAAGTGTCAGCAGACCTGTAAACATGTTCATATGGAACTATATAACGATTCGTCAAGCCACAGCTGTCCAAAACAATCACCCAGCCATTGGCCCCATATTTGCTGGCTACAGCTACTTCCTCACTCAACTCCCCTTTGCCAGGTCCTGGCTGCCCTGCTGGGGGTAGATACTGGAAGTTCCACAACTTTTTGATTGTTAAACACCGCCAAAGCGAACAAGCGTCAGTATCCCAATTCCTTAATGACTCACCGCGCGTGTTCGGGGATATGTTTGTTTGATCGGCTGGTTGGAACGACAGTGAGGCTTGTCCATACCCCACTGTTGTCTTGCCTATATCTCGCTCATTCAAAAAAGCACGGACCTTGGTCGCTTCAGCCCGCAGCGCTGGAAAACACAAAACATTTGACTTACTGTCTGTTGAAAAACTGGGTACGTTGGAAACGTTTTTGCCGTCGCTGCCAAACCCTTGGTGATGATGATGATGGTGGTGGTGATGATGATGATGACGACGATGATGATGATGCTGATGATGAAGATGATGATGGTGATGATGATGATGATGATGATGATGACGATGATGATGATGATGATGATGGCGACCGTGTTGGCTTACTTCAGCTCCTGTTCATGTTTTTGCGGGGGCTCCGCATTTGCAAGTTGGGCGCGTGCTGTTTGGCAGCAAGCTCCCCAGAGTTTGCAAAATCATGTTCAGTCCCATGTGGCTGCACCAATGTTAAATTATTACAAGTTGGGCTGTGTAAGCCCGATTCTTGTTAGAAGACTGATCCTAACACAAGACGCGTCAATGCAACATAGATTCTGAAGGCTCAATCCCTCCGTCTCGCTTTTCCGGACGAAACGCAGCAACCGTGCATCACCAACATGAAACAATCAGATTCAAAAAATACTTTGCTGTGTTTAACCCTAAATTTCTACACTTTACTTCTCTTAAACCTGTAATTACAGTTGAAGATGGTTCAAGTGTATCTCGCGTTGAGAATTTGGCTTTGTCAAGATGAGCTGTGACAAGATCCTCGCTGGTTGTCTTCTACTCCTAGGAAAGCACTGTGCAATCAGTATTCCCATTTTCGTAGTCTCACTTCTTGATTCTGTGAATCCTTTTGCTCCAATCTCAAACTTCAAAGCAGTCAAGAAGAACGGTAATCGTGGAAGAATTGGTGCTGGATGCAATGAGGAATGCCCGCTGTGAAAATGCACTGGGGTCTCGTGCTTGCCAAAGTAGGGACATATTACTGGATTCGTCTTGCATGCTTCCAAGAACACTGTGACAATGGTAGTATAGTTCCAAAAATCCCGGCAAAAGCTGTGCAGTTCAGTGGATTTGGGCTACCATCGTGCGATAATGAATTTCGGGGTGTGCGATCAAAAAACAAACCCAAAAAAAAAACTTGATGATCACATTCCCGTTTGGGTCAAATTTGGCACCAATTACTGGATGTCTTGACCAGAATCTGTGGTTGAGGGTGTGCTCCTTTGATCCATAACCAAATGGGCCTCACATGTTTCAAAAACCAAGTTATTCGCACTGAAACCCAGTTGGGAACGAAACCTAGCTTTGAACCGTTTTCAGTTGATCAATCCATTGATCAACAACGAAATGCCGCGCCATGTTCTGGCTGGGTTTACCATGTGTCGTATAACCATCTCTAAGCCATCCCAAAAATGGTGTGTATATTATATATATACACACACCATGTTTATCCATTTTTGGGATGGCTTAAAGCGGTATATAATAAATTTTTGAAACGCTCGAGGCTCGAAGTCTATGCGCCGCCCGTGGTCCACAGGAGGATGGTTCAGGATGAAACAAACAACATCTGATAATCTCACTGTTTACTTCCAAAATATTATCAAGATATTGATATATATATATATAGATATATATATATATATATACCTGTCAAAAATTATCCCGGCAAGAGACCCCACACAGTGTGGGGGGAGTAAAAAGATCATGTATTATATAATGTTGATGATGATGTTAATATTGGTGATGATGTTGATGGTGATGCGATGTTGATGATGATGTTGATGATGATGTTAAAGTTGATGATGATGATGATGGTGGTGATAGTGACGATGATGATGATGATGACGGTGATGATGATGGTGATGATGATGGTGTTGATGATGACGATGATGATGGTGGTGGGAGGAAGATGATGATGTGGATGTTGAGGAGGAAGATGATGAAGTTGAGGAGGATGATGCTGAGGAGGAAGACCGATCCCAAGAGCCATTTTGTGCAGAAATTTACAGGGGAAATGCCGGACGCTTCTCCCGCGGCCAGCGTTTTTTGCGAGCCTGCGCAATCGAAATGCACATGGACATGTCACAAGAGGCATTTTGTGCGGAAATTTACAGGGAAAATGCCAAACGCTTCCAATACCACCTCGATTGAACACCGGGCCTTAACACTTACTGTAAGAACCCCTCAGTGTGGCCACACTGTTTGGGGAAAAAAACGGGTTTTCTATACAAAACTGTGATGGGGAGATTGCCAGACTGCCATGACTCAGCTATTCTCTGGTAGTCATGGCAGTGGAGAATCCCAAAAAGATGGAGGTTTATGGCTGGGAACAGGAACATCATTGAACTAAATGGGTTGTATGTTTTTGTATACTGTCATGTTTACCGGAGGGTCATATCCCAGTAAAATCCAATTCTTGTGGCTAAGATTGGCTAAGATTGGCTAAGATCATCTGAAATCCTCACTTCTCTGGCCTTCGAGCAGCAATCTTATGGTGACAATCAACCCTCTGTCCGTACATGGCAACTCTTTGGATCCAGGTAATCAAACATGGCTGAAAAATCCAGCCATGCTTCGCTACGAATCTCGATTGGTAGGGGAGATGTTCCCATATTTCCAATATTTTGCCGGGTCCAAACCCATTTTTTTTACGCAGCTCGGCCAAGAATCTGCCCATTGAACTCTTCAGCACCCGCCTGAAGCAGGAATGGACGTAGCGATATCATAGGGATATTTAAGAGGATATGTAGAGGGATAATATGGGGTCATGTGGGATAAATCCTCTGGCTATTTCTTAGCTATGGAAATCACCATGAACATAATTCGAACATACTTGGTAAATCATCTGCAAACAAGCCATTTTCCTTAGCTATGTTGGCTTGCTGGGGGGGGTGGCTGCAGCACGCTTTCATCGAAACTAGTTAGAAGAATCATCAAAACCCGAAGAACAAATGGACAACAACTATCAGGGGGGAAAGCCCCGAAGAAAAATACAGTACTGTATATATTATATAGCAATGGAAAATCCACATGTATAGATGTTTTCTCATTAAAATATATTAACATGCCCATTTACAGGGGATTGCCTATTGCCATGTTTGATTGCCGGAGGATAACATCAAAGACGTATGGGTTAAAAGTCTTGGAACCATGATTGCTAATTATACTACTTCATGCACCCTTAGCTTTCAAATTGTCCGAACTGTCCGAACTGTTGGTTAGCGTTGCTTAATGTTGGTTATATACTCTATTATCGCACGTCATTTCTTTAAATCAGTTTAAATCCCCATGAAATCCCGACTGGTTGGTGGTTTCAACCATCTTGAAAAATGATGGAGTTCGTCAATGGGAAGGATGACATCCCATATATTGTGGAAAATAAAATTCATGTTTGAAACCACCAAGCAGCATTTATGTGTGTGTATATATCCTATAACCATATCCTATAGCATATAGTGGATTGGACCAGAAATCAGGAAGATATCCTATATAACCACCAAGCAGCCGATAGATGTTCTTGGTCCAATCACTATTTCTGGTGAAGTCACAGTGAAGTCACCCTTTTTTTGCTCGTGAAATTCCCGGATTTTCCCCACCTTCTGCAAGCCCCTGATCCGCACCAGTGCGCCAGCACGGAGCACCAAGGGTGGCATCTCACCATCAGAATCGCCGGAATCCTCCAAAAATGGGCTGATTCCGGTGGAAATGCACTCAAAATGGAGGTTTAATTCGCGAAAATCCATGGGAGCATATCGAAAAATCCTCTTTTTTTATGGATCTGGGATCCATAAATAGCAAAAAAATCAAACGTGGCCCGCTGGGACATCTTAAATGGAGATTTGTAGCTGGGAAAATCATCGAACGGAGTGGATTGTGTGTTCCATGGTCAAGTGAAGAGGAGTTACATGGGATTAAAATTTATGGGCTATTGGCTATTGGCCATCGCTCCCATGGTGGGAACCCACGTATTCTGGGTACAAAACTGGCCATCCTCGATAGATTACCAACCCCCCTTGATTGGTATCATGTAAAATCCGTAGTTGCTATAGTTCTTTTCTTAAACATGGGTCATTAAATGTCCCCATTGAACATCACCCAACCACAACCATTAGGTATATGGTCTATAATGGCTACTATAAGGTGATGTCCAATATACCCAAAATGGGACAGTTACCAACCCCTGTTAAACCAACTGCTTTACTGTCAAACCTCCCATCCCCACCTTCCCCCCTAACCGACCTCGCCACTCGACTCGTCATCTTCGCTCGACTCCCCATCTTCGCCGCTGTCCGGCTCGTCGTGCCAGGGGACCTCGTGGGAGGAAATGACCAACAAGAACCGGTGTCAAAAAACGATTAAAGCCAGTTATTTCAGGTATTTATCAATGATTAATGGGATATGATACAACTATCAAAATTGCCTATATCATACTATATCCAAAAGACATGACTACCAAAAACATGTACAACGCCTAGACCCTTAAATCAAAGCTCTCTGTCATCCCCTTCAAAAACTGGTTAGTTAAGAACGGGGCCCCCTGTCACTTGATAACATGATACCAATCCCCAATACTGGAGTATATCCCCAAATAGTCATGAATTTCTGAATTTGGCATCATTTTTCAACTGTATTCCCACATGATTGAGAACGCTACAATCCCTAGTTTCCAAAGTGGTCATTTTTCCATTGGTCAATGCCCAAAGTCATCATCAACCAGCCACCACGAAGATCACTGATAATCTCCCACATGTTTGATATACTTAAAATCCCATCAATCCCCCGAAAAATACATGATGCTTTTCTATCCCCAACTTAAATGATGCTTGGGTGATGGGTATTTCCCATGGTAAACCCAGAAAATTTCCCTTTTGCTTGATGGCCAATCTTGGATACCCTGCAAAAAAATAAACTTAGCTGGTGAACGTAGATATTCCCATTGAAACCCAAAGACTAGTTAGGACTAGTTTCTACCCATCTACCCATCCAAGATTGACCTAGGTTTGTTTGATGGGTACACTCTGGTTATTTAACATAGCTATGGAAAATGACCCATTTAGTTCGTGGAACCCATTCAAAATGGGTGGATCTTTCCATACTTGTGTAAACGTTTCCCAAAGGGTAAATCCAATCTGAAATCCCATTAGATCCCATTGAACCACCATAAAAACCCATTAAATCCCATGAAATCCCCAACATTCACTAACCTCCCCAGGATTTGCCTTGTGCTTGATCTCTTCCATGGCCAGAGCCGCCGGGTCTTCATCGGCAATGGCCTGGAAGCCATGGGGACATCATGGGATATCTCTGAAAAATGATGGACTTCGTCAATGGGAAGGATGACATCCCATATATGATGGAAAATAAAAGCCATGTTTGAAACCACCAACCAGTATATATATATATATATGTCTATACATGTGTGAGTGTGGTAGTACTATATGATATTAATTGTCATGTATGGTACTATATATGGTACTATATATAAAATATTATAGTATCTCATTGTCATGGGATATTTGGGGGCTCACGCAGATTAATTTTGGAAAATCTGGGAAAAACATCTGCAAATGGAGATTTAACTACCAAACAATCATGACTACCATGGTATATGGGACTGAACAGGAAATGGGACGACTAACGATTTAACATGATTTAACTTGGGAAGATGATGATAAGTGGTGATTGAAAAACAACATTAGACATTGGGGAGGGTTGGATTCAGTTATCGTGTGATTTAATGTGGAAAACCCATGACCAGTTGGCTACTGGATCTGCTTTATAGCATTGGGTAAGTAGCCCATTCATTCGATATAATGGAATATAGCCTCTGGAAATTCAACATGTCTATGGATACTCACCGTGAATGCTATGTAGCTAAACCATGATGAATCATCTATAAATGAGCCATGGCTTCCGTAGCTATGTTAACCGTGTCGGGTATTCCACCGTGTCTCTGCCGCCGGCCCCGCAGTGTGCCGCCTCGGTTTCTTCTGGCTCCTCTTCCAGCTCTTCTGAATCCTGGCAGTTATCCACTGTGAATGGGTTGGTTTTACTGGCTTTTATAACCCATAGGATCCATGGTGCTGCTATATATGGTAACATTTACCATCAATATACCCCCAATGTTAGCATATATACCAGCACCATGGATCCTATGGGTAATGTTTTATGTAGATGTCGCCCCGAAGAATTTAAGGTTTTTCTCTACAGCAACCGACCCAGGCTCGGCGGATCGTTCCCAGCGGTCGATCAGTCGATCACCAAATATGGTTCAACCAATTAATATCTACCCATGTTCGATCCACCAAAACGTGCTTAAGATCATATTCCTGTTCAATATGAAAAACCATGTTATTTGAGGTGCAACTCCAAATTTTGATAGCACTCCAAAAATATGCAGAATAAGTGTCATTTACCACTTTTTCAGTTTCGGATGTTACTCATGTCTGCATCTATAGAGGGTTGCCCTATGTTAAATATCGTTATTGTTATTGTTGATTACATGTCCGAATAAAAATGTCGGATAAAATATCTCACTTCATAGACCCCGTAGATCCCCGTTTTAATCTACATGATAAATAATAGATTATTCCCAGATCATTATTATTATATGACTATATGATTAATATGGGATATGATACAATAATATTAAAGTCCCAGATTCATATAAAATAAATTAAATCCCAGATCATTCTCATTATATATGAATTAAAGTATCTGATTACCGTATATCCCATTATTATTCGGTAGCAATTTATCATCCACCAGTTTCCCGCTACGACTGGTTGGCTAGCATGGTATCCCATGATTCTATCCGAATAAATCCCACTAAATCCCATTAAATTAAATCATTGAATTCATATTAAATCCCATTAAACTCCACTAAATCCAAGTAAATTCCCATTTCACTTCCACTAAATTATCTAAATTCCCATTGAATTCCACTAAATTCCCATGAAATCCCATGAAATTCCACCAAACCGCATAGACTTCATGGTTAAACCCGCCATGTTTTCTCCACTGACGGTTTCTGGTAGCGCCTCGCGCCCCGGTGACTCACCTCAGGGATGGGAAGCGGGGTCCGACCCTGCGATACCTGGAAGAGAATGTGTTAATGGGTATTTGGATGGAATTTCATGGGAATTTCATGGGAATTTCATGGGCATTTAATGGGAATTTAATGGGAAATTAGTGGAATGAAACATGGGATTTCATGGGATTTAGTTGCAACTGAGTGGAAATTACTTGGAAATAAATGGGACAATATGCTTTGTTGTGTTCATGGAAATGATATTGTGGGAGTTAACCATCAAAGAATGCGGGGTATGCACCGATCCCCATTTCATCAAACCAACACCCCCCAGAAACCATGCTTGAATAAGGGATGAAATCACATATGACTGAGACCATGGAATTGGGATGTTTCCTAGGGGAATGGGATTACATAGGAATATATTGTCTTCTATATTATATATATATATATCTACAGTATATATACTGTGAGTATATGTCTATATGGGGATAATATGGGAATCTATGGATTGGGTCTATCTGAAACCGATCAGTGGTCAACGGTCTCAACGGTTGCATCACGACGACCATGGCTATCCCATTGGCGCCTGTCTCCACATCAACGGCATCTGTGAGGCCGCCTGCTGTGGGTCTACCCTCTGGTAACGTTACAAAAAGCTATTGAAAATGGCCATAAAAAAATAGATGGTTTACCTATTAAACACGGTCATTTTCCATAGCTATGTTAAATTACCAGAGGGTATCTTAAATGATTTCATGAGCGAAGTTGATACGAAGTTCACGGAAACTCAGAAAGAGCTGGGATGACATGCTTAGAAACAGTAATTTTCGTGGTGAAAATATGCTTTGAAAAATGGTTATACAAAGAAAAAAACAAAACAATATGTATCATATACGTAATATGTAGATACTATATATATATATTTGTCTCATACGTGTTCCCTATCAACATAGCCATAACTTTGCGTAAATCCCCCATGTTCAGACAACATCCATGGAATCTCACGACAGGATGCCCGCACCTAAACGGCCCGAAGTACTCGAAACAGGCCTCCGATCTTCACCAACAGTGGACCAAATCATCCAATATTGTTATTAACTATAAGAATATGATATTATCGACTATTGGTTAATTATTATATGAGGTTAATTAATATTATAATGGTTCTAAAAATATCTAGAAATTAGAAATATTACAATTGGATATATGATCAGAACCATAATTTGATAAAATGTGGGTAAAACAATGCCATAAACTACCACCTATAAAGAATGGTGATGTGGGGGCTGGTTGTTGTTTATTGTTTTACCCAAATTAGATCATTTTAGTGTTGAAACATATTGAAAGCCATGGTTTTGGCGATTCCCCATTTTGAGAACCCCCCATTTTTGACCAACAAAATCCAACCTGAAGATATCACGGAAATGCGTAGCGTAGCCAATCTGGGAGGGTGAAAAACCTTCCGTTTTCAGCCAACGAACCTGTGAGAGTCTTCAATTCATATCACAACTTTCCCAGCAAGGCACAGATTGCTCTCTGGAAAATGCGGTGAAAGTATCTTCAACAAAACCCTATGTTGGCACATTTGGGGATGGCTTCTGGTTGGGTTATACACTTTCAGGCTACCATTGGGCCCATTACGATGCCTTCCCCAGTGTCTCCATAGCATGGTTTTGCACATCAACATGACCATCACTTGAGGTATCCAAGATCATTTTCCCAACAAAATCCAACAAAGCCAAAATTTTTCATACCCTCCGGTCGTCAAACATGGCAAGCTGGAAAATCCACCAGCTATAGTAACATATAGTAACCGATGATGTTCCCAGGGAACGAAACCTCATTTAGTTCATGGATGCTCCAGCTAGCCATGTTTGAGTGGGGTACCACCCATCCTACCCTCTGGTAATGACGTTCACAGTTTGTTATTTTTCAAATGGCCCATGGAAATAGTTGATTTATAGTTGAATGATACCTATTCAAGATGATTCACCCAAGGAAATAGTGGATTTACCTATTAAAGATGATGATTTCCCATAGTTTTTTGTATGTTTACCAGAGGGTAAACATACCATGAGTCAACTCCTGGGTAACTCATTGCAACCACGACACACTGGAAGCTCCGGTGACGGAAGATTTCCCGTGCGTGGGTCGTACCTCGATGTACAAAGGCCGATGATTCTTGTGCTTCCCAAACGAATTCGTATTAGGGTATACTTAGTAGTATCATAATATATCAGAATAGTTCTATCATGTTCTATCAATAGTCTAATATACTATTTCTATGATCATCATTATTACTATGATCACAATTACCAAAATCAGAGTGATAGAACAGGCACTTCCCCGACTTCACCTTTTTTTGAGAGCAATCTGATTAAAAAATCGGCAGACTACCAGCAACGTTTCGTTCGATCTCATGCCACTGTTTTTTGCAGCCAACCAATCGTCATGTTGGGATATCCACCCGGGTTCTTTGTTGATTTTGTTTTTTGAGCTATGGGTGGTATGGTTCCAACTTGGGGAAATCTCTAAACCATCGTCTGTTCGCCTCAATTTTTTGGCCGCGGCATCGATCATCTCAAATCCCCGCCTTAGCGCGTTTGTAGGGAAAATCCTCGAGCTCAACACGGCGTGTCTGGAAAATCATCGAACTAAATGGATCAAAAAAGGGTGGTTGTTCTGCAATTTTTGTTATCCCTTCATCCAATTTTGGGATAAAGAAAATTGGCCAAAAAAGATTGACCCTGAGGTAAGAACATACTACAGGCAAGTAGGATATCCCCGATTTTGCATTCAAATTCGCTAGAAGTGCAGGAATTGCTGTTGCCAGGCCAGATTACAGTACCTGAGGGCACTGGGTGGTTCCAAGTGCTGCTTGTAGAACTGGGATCAGCTCCACTTCCAGGACTACCCCCATTTCTGTGGGTATCGGAGGTCATTCTGTCTGGGCACACATGGCTCCATGGCCAATCTTAGATATCTGCAAAGAATGAGTTTTACATGTTTAGCTGGCGAATAAACCTCACCATCTAAATCGCAATTGACCCAGTTGTATCAGGTTAAATCACCATTTTGGTGCATAAATCCCCCGTTTTATGGTTTAGCCATCTATTCGATTGCGGTGAAATCCCATTATACGAATGATTTTTGTCAAATCTCTATCATTGTTGCTGGTTGGTGGTTTCAACCCCTCTGCTAAATATTAGTCAGTTGGGATGATTATTCCCAATATATGGAAAAATAAAACATGTTCCAAACCACCAACCAGGTCGGTTACAATCCCCCATAACTATACCCAACGACGCTTCAAACCCCACAGAGATTTATAGAATCGAGTGCCATTTCATAGCCATAGCAGCTATGGCATAGCTTTTTAACCATGATTTTATATAAGTTTCACCCATTAACCAACAACACTTGGGTAACCCAGAACTGCTCCCAATCGATTCCGAAGGCCGAGTGGCAAATACACCCTGGGCGGCGCGCAGCGTTGGCGAGCGAGCTCGGGCGAGTTGCTTCAACCGAAGAAACTAGAAAGGACTAGAAACGAACGACAAAAAACTGCACGAATCATGGTAAATCATGATAAACCATGCATGGTTAAAAAAAAACTGATTTTATCAATCATATCATGTGGTAAATCATGGTAAACACAATGAAGTAAGTTCTCCCCTTACTATCAGTGGTATAATCAATCCCCAAATGGCCATAGCTAATCGGCTGTCCAAGAATTACAATACTGATATGGTAATCAAACAATAGTCAAAACTATGTATTTTAGATGTACCTTCTGGATATTCAACATAGCCATGGAAAATGCTTCGTTTTTAGATGATTTTCCCAGCTAGAACCCCCCATTTATTTTGGGGATTTTCCATATGTTAGTCATAACCAGATGGTGAAGTCGTGGTGAAGTCGTGGTGAAAATCGTCGCGACTGTGACTTTCTCAACACTTTCCCACATGAAAAGTTCTGGGGACTCTTTTCACCAAAAAAAACACAAAAAAAATGCACGAAAAAAAATGGCTGGATTCCAATCCTCAATCCTCATCTATGTGGTGAATTAAGGTCACTTCACTGAAATCAACCCAGCGGAATGTCTGCTTGTTGGGGCGAACGCCCCCCAATAGATGGCCATGAAAAAAACTGGAAAAAGGAAATGTTGTCACATTCTCATGGTGGATTGTGATCATCCTCTATATTGGTGAGTACCATCCGCGAAGTATATAATCGTCTACCAACCATCATTTATCAATCACATTCCCATATGTTTGATAGTTCAAATCCCATAAATGTCCCTCAGTAAATGATGGTGTATTAAGTTTATATTCACAAAAATAGTCCCATCATTTTTTTAATAGTTAAAACCTGATTAAACCATCATTTACCATGATTTTATCCACCATATTCATTGATAGCTGGTTTTTTATCCCCCGAACTACAACCCGCACCCGCAACGCCAGGACACAGATTCGTGGTGTGATACTTCTGGTGCTTTGCCCAGAAGCGTTGCGCTGCATAGTAGTCCACCTTGCTCGACTCATGAGACTTGCTTGAAACATTGACATTTGGATTATCCATTTATTAATGGGATATTACCTATGGATTCATCTAATGGATTTTTGGATATTACCTATTATTCCATTTATTAATGGGATTAATGGGATATTAAGCCTAACTTGATGGGATTCATCCAATATTACCTATTCAATGGGATGATCTAATATTATCTACCCTCTGGTTATGACATTCACAGTTTGCCATGGAAAGATCCACCCAGGTTTAAGTTCCGTAAACCATCTATTTCGATTAGGGCCATCTATACCATGGCTATGTTAAATAACCAGAGGGTAATTAACCGAAAACCCATGGTTTCCCCATGAAAACCAAAGGGGTTTCCGGTTTCAATTGTCCCTTGATCCAGTGAAACATGGAAATGTTCCAGTCGGAATTAGGCTATGCAGATTTGAAGAGTCCAAGATTGAATTTTTATGACATCAATTTTACCATCTGGTTATTTAACATAATTAGCCATGGAAAGATCCACCATGTTTAAGTTCGGTAAACCATCTATTTCTATGGGCCATCTATACTATATACCATGGCTATATTAAATAACCAGATGGTATATGTCTTTGTCTTGGTTGATTCCTTCAATGAAACCCCTATGTCTATCTTTGTGTGCTATGCCTTGATCATTATCAAATCCCCATTTTTCATGGTATCCAGATCCATATAGATTTGAAAATAGGGGATATAGACTATGAAAAAGACTATCTTTGGACTATTTTGATGGGATCCAAATCCCCATATTTTTGTGGTTTCATGAAAAATAGTCTATAATAGTCCACCAGTCTCAGTCCCAGGTTCCGAAGTGGAGGTACTTTCGCTTCCGCTGCAGAGAAAGCCGCCGCAGAGTAGCCTGACAGCCGCGACGAGCTGTTCTCAGTGGACAAACGAATCACCCCTGTGCCTATCATTTACCTATGGGCTGGAGCAACTTTGGAAATGAACTTGACTCTTCCGAGAATCCGGGAGATCTATGATCCACTCTTGAGAAAAACCTGAGAAGCACCAACTTGACTTCCTTTTTAAGATAGTTCCAGAAGATGTGGAATTGGTCTTCTGGTGGAACGTACTCCAGCGATTTCAAGGCTTGCTGAGAAGCTCGCTTTGTCTCCCAGGAATCGTACAAAGTGAGAAATGACTGCCACATGAAACATGCCAGTTGTGTGTATAATCCGTATCATATTAATCGTGACATGTGTATATTATATACATACATGCATGCATGCATTGCATTACATTACATTACATTAGATTACATTACATAACATTACATAACATAACATTACACAACATTACACAACATTACATAACATAACATTACATAACACAACATTACATTGCATAACATTACATAACATTACATGACATTACGTAACATAACATTAAACTACATTACATTACATTACATACATTAAATTACATTACATTACATTAGACTACACTACATTACATTACATTACATACCATTACATACCATTACATACCATTACATACCACTACATACCATTGCATACCATTACATACCATTACATTGCATTGCATTGCATTACGTTACATACATATGTGATCTGTGTGCTTCATTCACGTCAATCCCTAGGTTCTGATCACCACTTTCCAATCGGGTCCCTCTCAAGTAGCCACTATTTGGCTTTGTCTCAAAAATTCTCTAAAGCCATTGGCTCATCATTTTCCCAATGAAAAAATAGAAAGTGTATTCCCCACATGTCACTGGCCATCTCAGGAACCTAAATTGAAGGTACCTACCATATATAAGGCCTATGTAAGGGCTATGTAAGGGAATTTCCCCACAAAATATGGTCTTATATGGTACAGTACCTCCATTTTAGGATCCTGAAATTTCCATTGACCATGACTTCGTTGCTTGCCCTGGCCCTCCCCTCCACACCTCTGCAGCCGCATGGACATGGTCAGCAGCAGCAGGGGCAGCACCAGCAAGGGTAGGGAAATGCTCGAGGACCAGGCTCCTTGATCCTGGGAAGAACTGGCTATGACCCGGTGTCGTGGGAAATCCTCTAGATGGTGGTTTAATGTTCCATCGCTATGCTTGATTAGTGGAGGGTACAAGTACCCAACGGGGGGCCGGTCCGCCATTTGCAGCGTCTGTTTGAGTCAACATTCCAAGTTTGATTTGGGTGGGAAACCCCATGCTTAAGGTGATAAATGGCTTGCTAGAAAATGGCCCATTGATCGATGACTTTCCGCAGGTATAAACCTAATTTTAAACAAGATTTTCCATCCAGCCACCAGCGTCTGAGATGAGATGGTTTCCAGCATTTTGCCATCCAAATATTCGAGACCCTAGCTTCGATTTAGACCCATAGGCCTGTACCATCCCATACCCGTATAGCATGATTGAATAAAGAAGAGGAAAAAACAGCCCCTTTCCTGGAGCGTCGAACGCCGGATTTCCTGTGACAAACCTTCTTGAACCATGGTCTACTTGTTGCGCTCTTTGGGGAGTAACATGTGATAGCAGCTTCACCAACAACCAATTGAACTAGGAAGCTCGACTGTACATAGACATAGACTGCCCAAGATAAGCAAGGATTTGATTCCATCACCACCCCTGATGAATGCAATGCTGAACCACGCTGATTATATGAATATTGTATGATTCTTAGATGGATACATAATCTTGAAGGGCAACGCACATAACAAATGGCTTTGAATCTTCTATTGAGCAGGCACCTGCGGATACATCACTTCCGGGTTGACGCTGTACTGTATGTATGATATGTTCGGACTAGATCCCACCAAGAGGTCTGTTTAAGCAAATGCGTCGCCGTCATGTCAATATGAGTCTTTACTTTTCACTACAGCAATAGATTTCCAACTCTTGGTTATATTTCGAACTATCTTCCATTAAGTCATCATATCCCCATAATTTTCACATTAAAAAAAATCATGTATAGTTCATAATCATCATATTATATGCCCCTGACAAAAGACAAGCCATCCAGTCCCATAAAACAAACCTCCAAGGATCCACAGATAAGGATGGAGTCAATAAGATCTCCTACCGCCGGCCAAAGAGGTCCGAGACTTCACCAAGTTGGGGCATGGGTCCCTGGGTCATGTGCCCCTGAGAGGTTTTGATCCCCGTTGCCCGTGCCCAAAGTCAGAATGGTAGAGGTCCTGAGCGAAGCCATAACCTGCTAAGGCCATGTAGAGAATCCTTCGGCGCTGAGAAATACCGCTGTGATGGGCATCTGTGGGAAAATTTTCGAACTAAATGTAACTAAGAGGAGGTGTTCTATGGGTTCTATGGCCATGTTTGAATCGGCAGAAGCGGGGGACACCGTCGCCAACAAGTTGGGCATGTATACATGCTTGGAAACAGTTAAAGTGAGTATTTAGGCTGAAGAGCAAAGCGCATAAATCCTAGCAGTGCGACCCTTCAGTTAAGTGGGAATTTGATGGGTTGCCATTTCGTGGAGCTAAACTGAGGATATTCCCAGTTGTGATGCAAAATGTTGCGAGCAAATAGAGAGATATGGGCGCCTCTAAAAACTTGCGGACGGGCCCGAAATTCTCTGAGATACCCATATTTCTTGCGTAAATACAGATATCCAAATATCCAAGTGTCAATTCTGTGCGTCTCAAAATGGTGAATTCTCTCCAGCCATTTAGAAACCATGAAATTTGAGGCTTCCCAACAATAAACCATAATAAACCAACCCCAATAGAGGTTTATGATTAAAATTTTATGGTTTTTATGATGTAAAATGACCCCCAGTCACGGTTTCTTTAACCATCGTCTCCTCAGGGCAGCATAGGCCACATCCACGCTCTGCCGATAGGGCCGCTTGCTCTGACGCAGCAGCTGGTACTGCGCACCGACCGCGACCACGGGGACAGGTGAAGAGATGTCATGGTTTTAGGGATGTGGTGCCCCCCAGTTATAAGTTGGTTTATAATCCCATTAACTATAGATATATCACCTATAAACCATAGTTATTGGAGTTATAAACCAACTTAGCTATCGAACGGGGGCACCACCTTGTAGGGATGTGGTCTCCATGTGAGTTTATAATCCAAGGGAAATGACTCATTGGTGGTCGAGCCACTCATCTGAAATACTCGAGTGATATCATTAGAGTTATTGTGGATCATCACCCCATTTCTATAGTAGAAAATCACAGATTTGGACAAACCCAATGTCAAAGTGGTTTTACTACCGAAAAATGGGGTTGGAACCGGGCAAACCGAAACCACCATCCAGGAATATACGTCGTGATTATACAACAAATACACAGGGTCTGGTCTGCGGATATACTAGACACCTTATACGAAACGATGATATGGTCCAGGTGTAGAACACATGGGCGTTTCGGTCCAGAGCCCATTGGAATCCTATGGAATCCTTATATCCCATCAAAAATGGCAGTCGAAAATCACGATGGTTTCGTGGCTAATTCATTGAACTAAATGGTGGATGTTCTTTAGCTATTCTTAGTGGATGTTCAATAACTATTCTTGCAGCAAGACCCTATGGTTTGCCCGCAAGGTTAAATAGAGTTCAAATATAATAGTATCCTTCGACATGCTGAAAAACCTGCGCCGGGCCCAGTGTTTTGGGATTTCCCAGACGACGAACCCTAAACCCTAAAACTAAAACCCTTAATTTTAGGTGGCTTGCGCCAGGTGTGCGCCAACACAGGTTTTTTTTTGACGGCTTTAAAGCGCTTCAGTTGGAAGACACGACAGCTCACGACGCATTTTCCTTGCGCTTGGCTCTTGTTTATCTGTTGGTTGTATGGGCACCCTTTTTTTGATTGTCTTCGGCTATTTCCTTTGTCGCTTACATTTTTACATTTCTGTCTTTGGCACATGTACTTCATGGGGCCCTTCTGTATTGTTTCCTCCTTTTTCTCTTGAGACGCGCGCGCCCTACGCGTTTGTGTTCGAACGCAGCCAAATTGGCCGGGGAGCTGCTGGAGGCTCATGTTGCCTTAACCCCAGAATTCTTACAACCTTGAAAGCTTTTGATCCAACCCTGAAATCCTTTAACCCTAAAATTCTTTCACCCTAATTATCAACAATGAATATATCAATTTTATTCCAACTACAGCTGGAGCATTGTACAAGAATTCACTGTATAAGAATTTGAGGGGCTCGAATCCAAAGCGGGCTACATATTTTCAGCTATACCAAACACATAGTACTTTAAGAATTTGAGGTACCCTGGAATAGGATTGCCAATTTTTTAAATTACTGCTTATACGTGAGGTTTGCAATTCCTCTTTGCGGTTCATTTTTTTTGTGGCGTGACCCCTTGCGAAACTCAGGTAAGCTCAGCTTTGCAAAAAAAACAATATTTCAGACTCTAAAAAAATGTTTGTTGCACACTAACCTTATGAAATTCAGACAAGCCTGGCGTTGCAAAAAAAAACATTTTTTCAGGCTCTAAAAAATTGTTTTTTTTCGCGCTGCTCTCATGAAACTCAGACAAGCCCGGCTTTGCAAAAAACAATTGTTCAGGCTCTAAAAAATCATTTTTTCGCATGCCTGTTGTCAAATCTGCCAAGTCCACCTCGTTACCTCGTTTAAGCTCGCTCCAAATTGTGCAGATGCATGTTGTCGAACCCTAAAACCCTAAAACCCTGAAAACTCTGAATCCGAAAGCAGAAAACACTGCGTAGTATACGCAGTATTTTCTGCAATTTATCTTCTCATGTTCGACGACAGGGAATCCTCAATGTTGCAGTCCGGGCAAACCACGGGGTCTGTGCGTACTATTAGTTTACCCAAGGGTAAGCCAGTTGTATACCCCAGTTCATCTGCCTTGCCACTTCCGAACTACTTGGAGGATCATCGGGGCTATTCCATGTATACCTGGGTGATTCCTACCAGTTGCGTCACGGTATGATATCCAAATTATATTCCAGTCATCCCACTTGATATTTCAAAACAAAAATACAACAACTCGGCCCCCAAAAGTAGGAATAGAGCTACTAACCCAGTTTCTGGAGTTAACTGGAGTTAACTGGTACTAACCAGCTACTAACCAGCTACTAACCAGTGGGTACCCAATGACAGTGGCTTCCCCATCGACCTTAAAGGCCCAGTACTCCAGGAACAACGCCGCAGCTGCGATCCTGGGACCCGCTTTCAGAAGGTTTTTGTCAGGGTTTCTGTAGGGTTCATTTAGGGTTTTGCCTGGGTTTTTCTAGGTTCTCTTTAGGGTTTAATTATATATATATATTGGCAGTGTGTCAAAACCTTGTACCCCTGGTGAACATCAAAATAGCTGGTAAATGGATGTTCATCCCATTAAAAATTGTATTAATAGGTATTGATCCATACCCATATAATTATATATATAGTAGAGTTAATGGATCTTAATGGAGATTATAAACTAACTTCTTTAGTGAATGGATGCGAACGGAGTTTATGCTCGCTAGTGGCAATCAAAGGCTGGAAATCCCGAGCGAAGCGTCTGTCTGGGAACATCATTGGGCAAGCCATGATTATCAGAGTGTGATTGTTGCTTGAGAAAACATGGCTTTCCCAGTTGGAACATGATAATCATTGGAACTCAGAGTTTGAAAACATTTGATTATCCATGAGTTCCAACTGATATCCCCGGCAAGCATGGCATGACGGTGACGTTCCCATCTATAAACCTCAATACCCCCAGGCAGAAGCCTCCAAAATGGTAGTTGGACAACGGCATGTTTGTTCAAGATCGTGGCCACTAAAATACTGTGAACTTTTGATGATAATCTCTCAGAATCAGGAATGATATTCACAATTAATGCAATATGTATACACAATATTACACAATTATATCTACGCATATACATTCCATGTTCAGACGTTCGGTGAGCAGCTACGTCTGCCCTTCATCTTGCTACCTCTCAGGACGGGGCACAGGATGGCATATGGCCAAATAGGCATGAAGATAAATCCTTGGTGGACACTGCCATCTGTCAAAGGGTCCGGAGAGGAAACATCTGAGTTGATCCTTGAAAACGAGAGCATGGTGAATTCTTCATTCACAAAGGGTCTGGGGAGTCCGGTGTACTCACTTGAAAAGTGAGACACATCCAAGTCTGACTTTTGAGCATTAGAACTTGCTTGTGCCACAAGGAGCCATATTCAGCATGGTCGGCATCAAAAGATCAGCTACAATTGCAATACGCTCCATTGAACTAAGGTAGTTGTGGAAATCCAGGTGTTTCACTAGGAAATGATCACTATATATAGATATATATATATATATATTTATATATATTATCATATGTTAGTTTACTGCAGTGTACATGCTGTTTTCTAGTTGCTACGGCTTCTAAATGGGCATGCACAAGTGCCCCTAATCTTAGTTATTTCAATTGATGAAGGTGGGTGGCTTCTAAGGCACTTAGAACTTTTCAGGGACATGGTTCCTACAATGGGGGATCCCCAATTCATGGATAGTTTATTTCATGGAACATCCATCTATAAATGGATGATTTAGGGCTACCTCCGTGACTTCGGAAACCCCCATATCCAAAAGGTCATTGAAGCAATCTGGAGTCCGCCAGTGCAGGTCCCCGCCCATAATTGCAGAAAGATATCCAACTGTTGTCTTACTGGTGCAGTGGGATGATTCTTAATCTGGTTGGTGGTGTCAACCCCTCTGAAAAATATTAGTCAGTTGGGATGATTATTCCCAATATATGGAAAAATAAAAAATGTTCCAAACCACCAACCAGTTTCATAGTACTCATGAATCATTTCCCCATTAAGCACCAGGAAATAACCAACATCCTGGCGCACAATCTCAGCAGGAAACGCCAGCTGCCCTTACTTTCCAGGACCCTAAATCCACATAAATCATCATAAATTCCCTATACTTATCATGGTTTCATCAGGTTTCCCCAAGTCATATCAGCAGAATTCACTAAGCTTCAACAAATGAGGCCGTTTTCCTATCGTCTGGTTGGGAAACTCGATTCACAGCTCCAACTGGCTTCCATTTTTTCTTGGGAATATGGATACCCCCAACTCCTTAGCTCACTCACCTCCTAGAACTGGGATGTCATCACAGTCATGGGATGCCTGGAGAATCTCTCCATGATTCATCATTCCCAGCCTCTATTGAGTCGGTGAATTTTTCCATGTGGGGCCAAAAATATAGCGTTCAGTTGCTGCAAATAACTCCAACAAAACTATGGTTTATAGTACGCAAATAACTATAGCTACTGGGGTTTATAAACCAACTAACATCACTGGGCCCCACATACCCATGATTTCCCAAGGCGCCCATGACGAAGGTCAAGATGACCTTGGCGAAGGGCCGGGTCCTTGGCGCAGGGTCGGGTGGAAATGGGTGGAAAGTCTGATGGTTCTGAAGATTACCAGCTATAGTTAGTTTATAAGCCCCAGTAGCTATAGTAGCTATAGTGATGTTAGTTGGATTCTTGATGGATATTCTGATATTCTGAATATTTTGTCTGATTATTTTTCTGGATTTTTGAAGATTACCAATTGGTATGATTCATTGATGTGAAATATGAACATTGATGGATAGTGTATGATATTGTTGATGTGAAATTGCCGTCTCTTTTTTGCTTCTGTGTAAATCGCTGGATTCGTGACATCTGCGCCTTCCATTTTGGATGAAAAGTTGAAATCCGCTGTAAGTGATGCTGGGATCTCCGAACAGAAAAAGCTGAACCATCCACCCAAAAAAAAACGCTTTGATGCTGGAAAAAGAACAGTTTTGATGGTCTTAAAGTCTTAAAATCAACTTTTGATGCTTCACTTCTGGATCCATGGCCCCCCATGGCCCCTGAAAGCCCTGAAAGGCCCGGTGCTGATCCATGTCCGGGAGCTCGAAGAAGGTTTGAAACCTCCAGCGACCCGTCAAGCCACGAAGATACGGATATAAGTTTATTATGAAGCATATTATGAAGTGTATATGAAGTATATATTCTGAAGTCTGTATGTGTGTATAATATATATATATGTATGTATCAGTGTGTGTGAAGTATAGATGAAGTATATGAACATCCTTTATCGAAAATGGATATGTTTTAGTTGACAAAGTATGACAAAATGGTCCCCTCTTTTGTTTTTGTTTTCCGGTCTGGGGCTGTTTCCTTGCTATACTGTATTTGCAGCATTTCGGAACAAAAGTCTTTCAGAAATGGACGGAATGTGCAGCGTTTTGGACCTTTAGTCTCCCTTTTGCAGTGTATCCCCTACATTTGGCAGCTAAAACGTGTACTTTGCAGGGTATTATCTTCAGCATGCTTGAGCTAAAATCTCTTCGGGGTCCACTAATCTACTCATTCTCGGTCTACCTGAATATTTAGATAGAATGGGTCAAAATTCGGTTGGCGAGTACAAAAAGTGGCTAAGTACTGATATACTAATTGGTGGTTTCAACCGTCAACCCTCCTGAAAATTTATTAGTCAGATTGGATCATCATCCCAACTATTGGGGAAAATAAAAAACGATCCAAACCACCAACCAGTATATGTATCTGAGTAAGGAAACCCTGATATGTTCGGCCCAGTTATCTCCGGTGATATGGCTGAGCCCTCCATCTCAATGCATACGAAAAACGGCCCGGGTTTTTTATCAGAAAACCACCATCGGTTTCGGTGTCCCCATTACCCTCTGGTTATGTCAAAATAGCTATTGAAAATGGCCATTTATAGTGGATTTTCCCATTCAAAATGGTGATTTTCCATAGTTATGTTAAATTACCAGAGGGTAAAATAGTAAAAAGAACGCAAAGTTTGAAGAACTAATTTGGATGATCACTTGAGAACCCCCATGCCACGCCAAGTGGCTGGCTTTGGGTCAGGGTCGCTGGCGGCTTTTCCAGATTCAAGCGCTGGTCCCGCATGAAATTCCTGGATAACTTCAGCAATGGTTGACCCAACTGTTCTGGAGGAATCCTTCTGTTTCAAACATCACCCTGCGGCCACGATACCCACAAAGAATCTCAATATACACAAGAAAGAGTGTATTGTGGCCCGGTATACTTGTGGTGAAATAATAACTATTACGGGTCTCATATCATATATGAAACTGGTTGGTGGTCTCAACCCCTCTGAAAAATATGAGTTCGTCAGTTGGGATTATGACAATCCCAATATATGTAAAGTCATAATCCATTCCATGGTTCCAGTCACCACCAACCAGTGATTATTAACCATTATTAACCATCATTAACCATCATTATCCCATATCAAATCAATGTTCCAGTCACCACCAATGATGGATTTTAATATATAAATGAGGTTTTATGGAGGTTTTCGTGTTGTCATGGTACCATGGTACCCCCTTAGATCATCCAGTCCTCATCCCATGACTTTGCCAAGGAGCCGGATCAGCAATTTGCAGCTGAAGAGGATGTAGAGGGGGATGGTGATGCAGTTGAAGCTGAGCCCAAAAAGCGAACTGGACATTTCGAACTGGGAGAGTTTCACCTGAAAAATTTAATGGATATTCATATATTTTTATATATTATAATGGATCTTGAATGACTTTTGATGATTTGATGTGTATCTGATACACCTCTGCGGCCTCATGGGGTCATCCTCTACTGGACGACAAATCGAAACTATCGAGTCTGGCAAAACTTCTATGGGAGATAAAAATGAAAAAATCAACTGTAATTATGGTATTATATGGTATATTTATATGGTATTACCATGTATTACCCGAAAATTACCAGTTCGAAGATATCTACAACTTCAGACAAATCCCGTTCTGATCGGATTTTTCGGAGATTCTGACTGTTTTTTTCGCCCTGGTGACCATGGTGGGTCGGCCTAAGTTCACCCCAGTTCATTCAGTGTAAGTAGGATTAGTCCGGTAAAAAAACTGGGATGAACTAAGCCTCTTGTTAACTGAGGTGAACGACCGAAAAATACATGGCCAATCTTAGATACCCTGCAAAAAATCAAATTCTTAGCTGGCGAACGTAGACATTGAAACCAAAAGACTAAAGGACTAGTTTCTACCCATCCAAGATTGACCTATAGCATAAATTATATACAATGGTTGATGTACGAGGTTACCCTCTTAGTGGTTCTTTATATGCTAAAAAAGTACAGATGCTCTTAGTAGTTTTTCTCACTGACACCGACCCGGCATGACCGCATTTCAACCAAATGCAGACTTCCCCGTATTCATCCACATCCACCTGAATTCATCCTTCAATCCTTCACATCGTTGGGTAATATTAAAATCATTGAAATCCACATCGTTGGGTAACCCCCAAAAAGATCCTTAAAAAGATCGACCAAATGCGAATTTCAAGCTATTTTCATAGGGATTTCAACCATGTTCTGCATCAACCATGGTAGCAGCAACCATGTGCCACCGAGCCGCGTCATGAGCGACGCAATGTCTGAGACGAGGTTCCCCGCCGTGTACCAGAAACGGGCTTCCCAGTTCACCAACATCGCAATGACGCAGTAGCAGGTCCTAGCCGGGCCAATGGGGCCACCAACCGGGTGAGTCTACGAAATCATGTTATATCTGAATTTGGGATATAGAAACTGGATGAAACTGGGATTTTCGAAAGTTGAAACCGGTTTTCTGAGAATTGGAATGATGGATGCATTAACATAGGAGATCTGTGAAATGGTGAAATGGTGGAGGGATCTCCAAATCCCTGAAAATCGCCATGGAACGGCAATTTTGATGTCAAGGCCTTTCGGAAAATATTGTGAGTCTGAGTCAACATAGCAAATCTATGGCAATACCTGAAGCACACGACCCTCTGAATCCCGCTGAAAGCTGCCACCAAGACCATATTTCAAAGAGCTGAATCTTGCTAAGGCTGGATTGTTGCTCGGCCGTTTGAGTTTGCCGAAAATGTCATCATTTTTCCACTGCTGGGGGTCAAACCGCGTCACTCTCATGCTACAACTGAAGAAAGCTCATCCTGACAGGTAACCCCAGAGAAACTATGACTTCGGACCGTCAGACCCCGGAAACCATCAACGCCATGGCTCAAGTAAAACAACGAAAGTTTGGCCAAGAGTGAAACATCTCGACCAGTCTTCGTCCTGAGCAGTACTGGGGGGTAATGCCATCACCGGGTTTTGCGCAGTACTGGGCGGTTCACCCTTGGCACAAATGGATCCCACCATTCCACCTGAAATCTGCAAGTGGCGAAACAGCCACTCGCAGATTTGAATGGCTGTCCTCAAGTTTTGGTAACCCAAAAACGAACCCCCAGAAAAAACCCATGGTTTTTCAACACGGTCAATTGTGCCATTCGTTTCACCAGTGCCATCGCAGTGTTTAACGCGTGCGGTCAAAATCCCATTGATCTTCCACTGGGCCATGGGCCATGTGAAAAAAACCCTGGTGTGCTGAGAGGATTGACCGGGCCATTCACCGGGCCCATGTTGGACGAGGTTCATATGTTTCTGCTGCATCACTTGTCTCCTGCACGAAAGGAGGATGATTTCGGAAGAGGTTAGCTACCTTTAATACCTTACATGTTTGGAAATGTTTAGTGTTTAAGATCCTTTAATTACTGTACGAAACTCTAAGCCCTAGATTAATTCATGTATCCTTTGTTTTCTCAACATTGGGAAATTCATCCTCCGGATGAAACTCTCCACGGTCTCCAGATGTGCTCGGCCCCCATGCTTCAGAAACGCAGAAACACCACATGGTATCCTATAGCCTATACATAACCATGCCTTTTACGCTGAGATATTAATGATATGACTAGTTCCTCCAAATGTTTCCCAAATCCAGTTCTGTGATTGATAATGGCTTAAGATGGGTTTGTCTGAAAATAGGGTACCTCCATCTGGGGGGAATATCACATTTTCCCAGTGAACAAATGGCGATGTGGTTCCAAAATCTGGACGGCTGCGCTTGGCCTGGGCTTGCTCAAAATGAGCTTAGTAAACCGGTTTTACCCCCCGGTAACGTAGATTCGTGGCCATCCATGTGGAATATCATCCAGTGGATGGAATGGAGCTGTCCCCAAGATCTTCAAACAATGCTAGATCATGATACATCATTTCTCGTTTCAACATGTCTAGAAACTCTATATTAATACATTTATAATACATTTATCATTTATCCATCATTTATGTATCATTTATCCATCATTTTTCCATCCCACTTTAGCAAAATCTACCATACATCCACCAGCGCTGATCCATCTCCTGATCGTCAGGGAAGCTCTGATGCGGATCATCATCACCACAAAGGCCACCAAGAGACTGGAAAAGGTGCCCCAGCCGCCCCCCTTGCGCTCCGCCTGCCGGGGGCTTAAGGCTGGTGGAAGGTCTGGGCTGCGAAAATGTAGAGAACAAATAGTGATCATGTGGGTAAAACATGGTAAAACAATGTCATAAACCACCCATTTGGGAATGGTTTCCACCACCTATTTATGGTGATTTGGGGGATGGTTTATTATTGTATTAACCACATTAGTACTTGTACAGATGATGTCTTAATTGATCTGGAGTGAAACTGTGACGCTTCAAACAAAAGGGATGGACAACTGGCAAAATGGCGTAGTTACACACAAAAAAAAATGAGGAAATCCATAATTGATGGCCATTATCCTATGGTTATGCTATGGTTATACTATTTTCACTATGGTTATGAATTATGGCTATTATAACCATGAGGAAATACACTTGATCCTGAACCACAGAAATCTGGAAATCTTTGTCCTCTACAGATGGTCGAATCTAAATTTACAGATGGCCAGTGGCTGGAAAAAACGGTGGAATCATCCTTTCAGGGACTGCCGTAACCTGATCTCGCCTCGCCATCTGGATCTATCTATCTTGAATAACACCATTTTAAGGAGGTCCCAATGCAGCATGAACATCCGCATGAACGAAAAATATCGTTGTTTTTTTTGGTGGTGAAATGATTGAATAAGGGCACCACCGTGCCACCATCTGGCGCCACCCTTGGTCGTTTCCCATCCCGTCAGATTCTCGCCTTGTTGCCCATGAAGTGATCCAAAATCCAGTTGATGGACACCACAATGAGAAGACATCCAATCAAAGTCCTCAGGCTTTGTAGGAAATCATGGGAAAACCCCTAGGAAATCATGGGAAATTGCATATGACCATGGGGTGTTTGCCATGCCTCCAAAAAAATGCATTGGGGGGTAGCCTCTAAAAAATACAAACCCACAGTGAACAACGGTGCCCGTGCCAGGTCATGTTTGATGGCGTCTGTCTTAAAATATCACCAGAAAATCCAGGGCATTCAACGAGCGGCCACTGCACTTGGGTGCATTTGGGTGTTTCTTGAATGAGGGGGCCAAAAATCATGAGATGTCCAACTGTGATGTGTCCTTGGTCCTTCATCTCTTGGCTACAGGAAAATCATCAGTTTTATCATCTAAAAATGAGTCATTTTCCATAGCTATGTTAAACAACCAGAGGATAGATTTCCAACAGTGTTTTATTTCCATTGTCTGATTACAAAGCGTTCTGCAAACACACACGATTTCGTGCATCCGCTATCTCTCAAACATGCATTTTGTGCGAGACTTTGATCGAAAACTGCAACTCGCTTTGCTGTGAGACTTCTTTGCTGTGAGTTTTCTTTGCTGTGAAACTCACCGCAGAAGTATAGACTTCTAAACTTCCTTTGATAAATCCCTATGAAAATTGGATGACCATCCCCCAATCTGGGTCAATTCAGTGCAATCACCTCCTTCTGGGATTTCTCAGCCATATATGACCAGAGGCTATCCTCCATATATCCCCAGCAGTCCCCCCATCAATCTGGCTGAATTGTAATACTGGTTGGTGGTTGAGCCACCCCTCTGAAAAATATGAGTTCGTCAGTTGGGATGATGAAATTCCCAACTGAATGAAAAGTCATAAAATTCCATGGTTCCAAACCACCAACCAGAATAATTTGCTAACCTGAAAATCGTTTTTATCATACCATGTGGGGATGATTCCACACATTCACCATCATTCCAGGCCGCCGTGAAGTCCACCTCCAGATGATGACTCAATCCCCATTTGAGCCATTAAAAATACCCCTATCCCATCTCATACTACAGTATAAGGCACAAAAAAAATCCCCAATAAGGCACACTGCGACGAAGCCGTAGGTCTTCGCTCTCAGCCACAGGCGAAGCTGGTGAGAGGCCTCAAGCCGGCACAACGGGCGAACGGGGAGGACGTGGGGCGGTGAGGCCTGCTGAAGTTGGGATTTAACATGATTTAACCATGCAAAACGATGGAAAATGCAAATGTGACGATCAATTAATTGGAATTGAATCTCCAAACATGATGTTCAATGGATAGGTTTAAGGCTTAAGGGAAAGTCTACAGGAAACCGTTGTTTTGAGCATAACAAATTGAGATTTACAGTGGAATGATGGAATATAAATGGAATTCTAAACGGAATAATCATTTACCATAAAAGGAGTCATGTCTAGGTTTCAGGGGCTCCTGGTCCTCATGGTCATGACCATTGCTGAAGTTGTTCTGATGAAAAAAATGGTGATAATGATGCATATTTGGCTCTGAAAAAAAATACATAGCTACGTTAAATTGCCAGAGGGTAAGGGACTATTGATGAAGTCAATTTTTACCGTCTCTAAACAAGGTGGCTAATTGACTGTAGAATTTCCAGGATCAGAGGTCCGCCAGAATCCAAGGTCGGATGGACTTTGCATATTAACAAAATGGGTCAAGAGATGTCCAGAGCCGGTACTGCCCCGAAAAAAGTGAAGAAAACCAGTTCTTGTCTCAAGCAGACGGAATCGTCTTCCATAGCCTGTTTTTGAAGCTTTGAAAGTCAAATTCTAAGCGGCTGATACACAATATGTTTTTTTCATAAAACAGCCTCCAAACCCCACGGGCGCACCGAGAGGTTTTCCCACAAGATGTCCGAAGGGTTCGCCGCGCGTGTGATGCGCACCTGAATCAGCCGACGACGTGTCGTCGAGGTGTTTGATGATGGCCACAACATGTAGCAAGGCCAAAAAAGATAGGGAATATATATGAAATATATGTAAAACCTGGAAATATGATATGAATAATTGATCTACTGTATATCTATAACATCCAGGAAATCTATATATATATATGTTTTGATCTTTGAACAAGTAGACATAGGGGTATCACCCGCAAAATATGGACATATCAGTGGCAAAATATTAAACCCCAATTGTTTGATTGTTTATCATACAGTTTGCCCTATGGAAAATCACCATTGATGTGAAATAGTAAGTACAGAAAAACAGTATAGCTGTCGCTATGAGCTATGGGCCATGATCAACCATCACTCAGAACATGGGGGATCCGGAATACCCCAAAATGGTCATTCGTGGAAAATGAGGTCTTAAATCATAAAATGGATCTTAGGGGTATTATGAAGCAAACATGGGAAGACCGCCAGCAAATATAAATAATATATATAATTATATATATATATCCTGGTTGGTGGTTTCAACCCCTCAGATATTGGTCAGTTGGGATTATGACATTCCCAACTGAATGGAAAGTCATAAAAGTCATGTTCCAAACCACCAACCAGTATCAATAAGGATATCGTATGATACATAATTGACGTACTCATACATGGATTTGCCCGCTGCGGAAAACTGGGTTTATGTCGCCGTCGTAAATTGCCGGGTTCGTTCGGTGAGCCAAAATGGCGATGCCAAAACGGTGATGGCGATGCCCGCTACATATACAGTCATGTGGTAATTGAAGCTAATACCCTCTGGTAAACTAACATAACTATGGAAAATCACCATTTTTAATTGGTAAATCCACTATAAATGGCCATTTTCAATAGCAAACTGTTAGTTTACCAGAGGGTAAACCAACCGTTTGGAGATGGTTTAGACATGATCCAAGCCATCAAGGGCCTGTGATTCGGAGAATGGTTTATTGGTTTATTCCCATGGGAGAATCCTCAGTTCCCGCCGTGGCACCACGTGTCTCTTCCGAAATCGTGTGGTGCGACCTGACCCGAAAAGGCATGACCCGGCGACCCAGCGATGACCGTGATGCTACCCGGTATATGCATATGCATGTGTATGCTTGAAACTCAAATAAGACGAACACAGATTCGATCATATATTCACATATATTCACATATTCACAGAATTTCGCATAATTTCACATATATTCATATTCGCCCTTTCACAGTGTGGTTACCCTCCGGGGCCGCTAAGTGATTTCGGCCGCTTGCCCCGCTTGCTCCGCTTGCGGGGGAAATAATGAATCCTCCTCCTTGCCCCGATTGCCCCCCATCCCCAGCAAGCGGAGCAAGTGGGGGAAGCGGGGCGAGTGGGGCGAGTGGGGCGAGTGGGGCGAGTGGCGGATTTCACTTAACTTTCCTCGGGGGCACCTGCAATGCCCTCTCATTTCTGAGATAGCTCCCAGCACTTTACAGATATCCAAAACACACTGCTGCTTCATCTCCCAAAATTTTCCTGGTGGGCAACACCAACCACCCCTATCATCGCGCTGCCGTTCTGCGGCCCATCAAAAAAATATTGGCCTATCCTATTTGATCCTCAAATTTCCGGGACACAACCACCATTTTGGTCTAAATGTGGGTAAAATGCCCTTCTCTATCCCAACCGTTATGGCGAGCAATCCTGGCAATGCAAGATCGTCTTCCCAGGAACTATGTGCGTGGTCCAAGCAGCCATGTCTGAGTACAAGCCTGTGACCCGGGTCTAGCTACATGTGAATTTTAAATACTCACTATACATTCTCTATATTATATATATATATGAATTATACAGTCTACATATATATATATATTGTATTATACATATTTTATATATATATATATATACATATTATACATACATATATATATATATTCTACATATATATATATTATTACATTATATATGTATTACTTATATATATATATGTGTGTATGTATTATTACACTATATATATATGTATTATTACATTATATATGTATTACTTATGTATATATATATATACACATTTATATATATATATACATATATTTATACATATTTATATGTATATATATATATATGTTAGTTTTAAAAAATAATAATAATAAACATCATCTAACTATATCAAACTATGGTTCTGACATGTTATAACCACCATAAAGCCAAAGCATTCACCAGCCCACTCTTCCCGAACTTCACCACAGCGGCTGTTGATCTTCAGACATTGCGTCAAGTTCATGAGCCACTCCTTGGTTTGCGATGACGACTCTGCCCTGCAGGCAATCCCTGGGGTATTTTCGGTGCGGTAAGATGACGGGCCCCGAATCAACGAAACCATAGGAAAAATTGTGATTTAACAAAGAAAAATAAGGATTGCATGGGATTTACAGGCATATCTCACTGATTTGTGCTGATGTGTGATAGCCAAGTTGGTTTGTAAGTTGCTGATCCTTTGGCTTTATGGGGGATTTTTTACGGTTATTTTCATTGAATGGTGCCCACCTCGTAGCCGGGGTCTTTCTGTTGGAGATTTTACAGTATCAAAATATGGGAATATCATGGGCATGCAATCAAATGTCACCAAAGATAACCATGAAAATGGAAATATGGTTGAGGATATCATGGGGGAAAAAAAAAAACATGAAAATGAAAGAAATTGGGATATCTTGGGATATGTTCCCTCAAAAAGATAGCTGGTTGGTCAATTCGCAAACTTGCTTTTCAATTAGGGAATTGCAACTCATCATGCATGTGGACAACATACGCTCGTCAAGTGGGCTTTGTACTTGGATGTCATTTAGAAAAGGATTGAAAACAGAACTGAGTAGTGCACTTCCAAATTTTGCTATTGAAGATTCTATAAGATTCTCACATCTCCTTTACGGTCGTAAATGAAAGAATTCCCTGTACTGTATTTTCTCTCCATCATTTTTTGACTTTTCAACTTTTCAACCAACATTTCAGCTGTTTGCAACCAAACATCAGCTGGACCCCTACAAAGATCTAAAAATCATCTTCAACCCCTGAAAGAATATGTTCCATCAGACTTGAATGGTGTAGCAAAAAATTACCCTCTGGTAATTTAACGTAGCTATTGAAAATGGCCATAGAAATAGTGGATTTTCCCATAAAAAATAGTGATTGTCCATAGCTATGTAAACGTTTACCAGAGGGTATGCCAAAATCTGGGAAACCTCTGTAAAAAGTTCCTGCCCATGCTGATCCGAGATGCAAAGAAGTTATCCCATTGCTCGATCACTTCTCCTGAAAGTGACTCGAGGTCCACATCTCTCCATGTAGGATATTAATGTTCCCATGATTACCCTCTGGTAAATTAACATAGACCCTGAAAATAGCCTAGCTTTAATGGAAACTAATCTTCCAAACCCTATCTGCCAGGGTCTATGTTAATTTACCAGAGGGTAGCATGATTTTTTGCTGAATCACTGAATTTCAGGAGAAGAAAACATACCTGGATGATCAAAGAGGTTGATTTTCCAAGCGCCATAGAATATCAGTGGGCTTGGGAAAATCTTCATTCACTGGAGACCCCACGGAAATCCCCGTTATGTTCAGCAGGAAATTCATTCAAAAATAGCAATCTATTAGCAAGCTCAGCAAGCTCACTTCCTTGGATATATGAACATATAGGTGTGCCCAAAAACAATGCATACCCCAGGTTATTGCACGGTTCATCGGGACAAGGATGAATTTTACCATGAAAATGTGGGGTTTCCCTTAAATTCAAAGACGGCCAGGTCCATCTGGACCTCGGAAAGCACTTGGATGCGGTAAATCTTCCCCATCAAACACTGGCGAAAAGATATGTCCCAAGTTCATCCAGGGACACAATTTTTGGGTCTAAAAAATTGACGGAACATGTTGGAAAATCACAAATTCCATGAAATTACTCTCTGGTACTCAAACCGGCATGACAGAAAACTCCCGCACGCAATAGTTTGATGCTTTCCACAGCTAGCCATCTGTGACCGGACACACCATCAACTATAGTTACGGTATTGTTACGGTATATCCCGCATAAACCAAAACAATCAACAAGTTCCAAGCCAACTTGGCTATCACAAATCAGCATAAATCAGTTAGACATGCATCTAAATCCCATTCAATCCGTATTTTTCTTGGTTAATTCACATGAAATCACCATTTTTCCCTATGGGTTGTCGTTGATTCGTTTCGCATGCCCGAGCCGCGATGCTCTTCTTGCGAACGCAAGACCACCACCGCCTGTCCTCGGTGCGGTCACTGGCAGTGGTTGAAGGAGATAGATTGATATTGGTGAATCGTGGTGAATATTAGTATGGTGTTATTAGTATGGTGAATATATAATGGTTAATTGTGGTTAATTAAGTATGGTTCATATTGATAATGGTTAATATCTTGTATGGTTAATTAGGGTTGATTATTCATGATTAATATTGATAATTGTTAATTATGGTTAATTTGTGCTTAATTGTGGTTAATTAAACTGGTGATTAGAGAACAATAGTGCTTAAGAGTGGTGAATCATGACCAGTACCTGTTGATCATGGTTTATAATGGTTGATTACGATTATATAATGAAGTAAACCCTGGCTGCCAGAAACCTACCTTTTGGGGATTGTTTTTTACCAACCAGAAAATGTCTTTTTTTGTCTGATTTTATGGATGATTGATTATCAACAACTATATAAAATTATATGTTGGGTTTACTGCATCTAATGTTACATCCATAGTTAACCCATATTTGCTGGTCACATCAGTCACATCCTCATGCTTTTTGCCAAGAGTTTTATCGAATGTTTGTTGGTGATCTCCCATTTCTTGTTGGCTATATAGGGCCCCCTTGGCCAAAAAATCCATCATTTTCGCTGATGAAATCCACTTTCTTACGCGACAGCCATGGTTTCTGGTCAAGTTTCCATTTTTTGCAGTTGAATCACAACATAATAGGTAAAAATGATGTTTTATTCACTGGAAAATTGGAATGGTAACCTATCATACCCAGTTGATTCCCTATTCTTTGTTTGGGAAACATACTGCAGTGTTCAAAATCTAATCGTCTAACGTTCACAAAAGCATCAAATGGCGGTGACCACCGGACATCAGTAAGTTTACCAGTGTTTACCACATCGCCCCAACCTGTGCATGGCAGCGCAGCTCTCAAGGCTTCGGAGGACCTGGCGTTTCTGGCGTTTCGGATGGCCAATATGGAGGTGTCCTGCAGGATACCCTGGAAAAACCTGGGAATTGATGAGATCTTAGAGCTAAAAATGGTTTCTTTGCTTGTTTTGCTCGAAGCCCTCATTTTTTGGGCAACATGTCAAATCTGCCCATGATGTTCCTCTTTAAGAGAAAGAGGCTGTTGTTTAAGGGTCTCCAAATCTTCCTGTGACTCCAAACTATTTATATACCCCGCAGAAATATAGATGGTGAAAATTATGTTCCATGGGTAAAAATGACTGACATATAAGTGATTAAACACTCATGAGCAGCCTTCACTGGGTTCAGGTACCCCATTTTTTGGGGTCGCACAATTAATGACCATGGGGGGTCGCCTAAACGGTCGTCTCAATTCCTTGAGCCGTTCTTCCAAAGCAGGTGTCTCTCCACTTTCAGCCATCTCCTTCGCTAAGGACTGGGCCTGATTTTTTGGGGGAGAATCATGGTTAAAAGCACCAAATCAAATGGTTTTTAACATCATTTTAGCAAAATTGCAAGTTGGGTATCCCCATGGTTTTCTACGTTTTTGGACTGCTCACAATTCTTGTTGGGATGGTAACAACATGTACCTGGAGTACCGGGTAGGAGCTTTCAGCAACAAATATCTGGATTGGTGGTGCAACTCAACACCATGAGGGCTCAGCCCGTTTTTTACAGTGACTCATCACATTCGTGTTGAAAAAATGCCACCAAATGGGATGCGCCCCCTTTTCGGGCACACCCAACAGATAAAAACGGGAATCTCTACAATAATTATCAATAATGGGGGACTCTGTTGTAACTATATTTGACATTATTTGACCAACAATTTGGTGGTGTCATCCCTGTTACAGGGGGCTGGTCCTAAATTGGGTCAGTTTGCTCACGTGGAAGCCAATGGTGACTTTCGGTACGGTACCCCATTTTTAGGAAAAAACATATATCGAGAGAGAGAGAGAGGGAGATGCATGTTTCAGAGAGGTGTATAGTTATAATCAAATATACATAACTATACATACAGACATACACATATATACATATATAATCATATATAGCTAGAAATTAGATAGATATTCACATTTATGTTTACCAACAAAAGAATTTTAATTCGATATGTCACAAAAAATGTCACCCATCGGTGGAGCCTCCCATCTCCTCCTTAGCTTCTTTGATATCATGGAGCATCTGTTGAAAGACCTCCATGTCGTAGGAGATAACCACCTAAGATGGTCCGAAAAATCCTAGCATCAAAGAGGATGTTCATCAACAAGAGGCCAACAACAAAGTCATGTTCATCAACAATGAACAAGGGTTACTAAGGGTTACTAAAACATTCTGAAACTGCAAAAAGGAATGAAGGACTCAATCTTATTCAATTTCGATCTTCGGGTCAGCAAAAAGGTGACACTTCTGAATGCCTCATACCTCGCCTCAATCTCTGGTGAAACACTGTTCTGGACAATGCTGCTAGTGCAATGCCCTATTCATGGCCAATCTTAGATACCCTGCAAAAAAACAAATTCTTAGCTTAGCTGGTTAATAGATATTCCCATTGAAACCAAAAGACTAAAGGACTAGTTTCTACCCATCCAAGATTGACCTAGCAACCTAGTATTGCTATCACCCATCAAAAACTGGCTGATTTGTAGGGCTTACCACAACAGGCTGTGGGTTCCAAGAAGCCATGACAACCTCCGTGCGCTCAGGGCGGCCATGCTTCTCCTTGGCCACGGATTTGACTGAAAAGAACAGGGAGAAAAGCAGCGATTCGGATAGACTGGGAGATGACAAATAGTGGAATACAGTATGCAAAACAACAAAGAATCATATGTTCATCGCCTTGTCTTTGTTTCATGGGAGATTTCTTCCGATGGATCGAGTCGTGCGCCCTACTGAGTGGTTGGAAGAATTGCAGGGGTTTTCCTATATGTCATGGGGATAAAAACATGGTGTTTGGTGTAGATGCTCAAAAAAAACATCATTGACTACCTTATGCGAGGTCATTAGTTGAAAATTCATCCAGATTCATCCCAGATATATATATATATCATAAATATATATATATATATCATGTGTATATATATATCATATATATATGATACATATCATATATATATATATCATATAATGATATATCACATATATATATATCATACATATATATATATATATATATATTCCCATTCACTATCTTATGTGCTTGGGAATCTCAATCTTAGGGGCTCCTTGGCTTCGCATGGCGTAGAAAAAACGATGATGGCCCAGCGAAAAAGCGTCCCAATGGGGAATTCATGGGCTCAAGACTCATGGGAGATATCATATATTTAACTCATGGGAACATTAAATATATATATATATATTCCCATATATATGATATATATATATATATATGATATGTATCATATATATATATATCAGAATGATGTATAAATATATCATATATATATTATACAAATATACAAATATCAGAATTATGTGTATATATATACAAAAGGCTTATATAGATAGATAAACTTCATGGAACTTCAAAAGGCTTAGATATACTTTTTCAGATTGGAACTTCAAAAGGCTTATATACAGTATATAGACATAGATAGATAATTCTAGATCTGGGTAAATTTTAATATTTCACTAACCTGAAATCTTGTGGCCAGCTATGGGGATATGTTCCCTTACTAACCATGATTTATCTCCCGGATCCGCTGCACCGGAGAACAAACAACTGATGGCATGGATGAAGCTATGGCATGGATTAACCATTTACCCTCTGGTAAACATACAAAAAGCTATTGAAAATGGCCATTTATAGTGGATTTTCCCATTAAAAATGGGTGGATTTTCCATTGTTATGTTAGTTCACCGGAGGGTTTGTTTTACATATTTTATCTGACATCCCTATGTTCGGTTTTCATCATGGTTAATCCATGGATTACCCATATAGGATCCATGGTGCTGGTAGAAAAATGCGATCCCATAAAAGGGGTATATTGATGGGATCCATGGAGCACCATATATAGCAGCACCGTTAGGATCCGTCATGGGTTAATGCTATGATTTTCATATTCTGGGCAAATTATCATATTTCACTCACCTGAATTGTTGGCCCAGCTATGGGGATTTCCCGAATCCTAACCATGATTTCCAGGGTCAAATTTACCCAGATATCATCCCGACCATCGGAACTCCCGACTCGCCCAGCTGCGATGAATTCTTTGATCTCATCTTCGTCCCTGGTCAGACGGCCCCGAGAAAGACACCTTCAATGGGAGAGTGCCCATTTAGGGTCAAAAATCATGAATATGATGGTATTTATATGGTATTTATACATGGTATTTATATGGTATTTATATGCTATTTATATGGTATTTATATTTAGCCATTATATTAAAGGTAATTTCCCAAACCTTCTCATCTGTTGGAGTTCACCACAGCACCAGGGTTCTGACTAGATACTTTGTGACAAATCCCAAACTGAGTTTGAGGATACCCTCTGGTGAACATACAAAAAGCTATTGAAAATGGCCATTTATAGTGGATTTTCCCATTAAAAATGGTGATTTTCCATTGCTATGTTAGTTCACCAGAGTGTATATGAGGACAGGTTGAATGATGGTTTCACCATTCTATCATCTTCTATCAACGATCAATTTCTCAGATGGGTTGGCCATTTAAACGCCAATCGAAAGACTTGTTCGCCAGTTCGTGCAGCAAATAGATGCAAATACCCTCTGGCAATTTAACAGTTTGCTATTGAAAATAGCAGATAGAAAATGATAGAAATAGTTGAGTTACCTATTTTCCAGATGGTGATTTTCCATATAAATCACAATTTTCCCATGGTTTTCCCATGGTTTTCCCATGGTTTCCTATTAAAAATGGTGATTTATATGGCTGAAGCCATGAAATTTTTCTTCGCTCCTGGCATCGGAGGGCAGTCCATCCAGGAACAACGCGAAGTCATCTGGATCCACCTGGCGAGCGACGGATGTGAGTTTTGTTGGTCCTGGTAAGCAGCCCCTGGTTTTTTTCAAGGTCATCTGATTGGTGGTTAAAAAACCATCTTGAAAAATATGAAAGTCAATGGGAAGGATTATCCCATACATTATGGAAAATAAAAGCCATGTTTGAAACCACCAACCAGTCATCAAACATGAATCACCACATGACCAGGTGGAACCTGGGTAGGTTCTGTATCTAATAAACACAACCCTTCTGCGAAGTCGGGCTTGGATGCATGGTTAATTCTCAAAATTCCCTATAAAAAATTAATAGATGTTGAGTGAACCCTGGGAAAATCATGTAAGGAATTGTCCAGCAAGCCATGTTTCACTACCGGAACCATAAACATTAATCCCCATGATTAATGCCATATACATATTATATCCCATTGATTCCATTCATAGATTACATTTCTACTTAATACCATTAAAATCCCATATACATCCATATACTCTAGAATTATGTACCATATTATATATTACAGGTGAATGGTTATAATAGTTACATATATCATATATATATATCACCAGGAACATATTTTCATGAACCAATTCCTTAAAATTACGTAATTATTAACCAGGAACATATATATAACATATTAATGAACATATTAATATATATATATAATCTCGAACCCCCATTGGTGTTCTTGGTTCTTTGTTGGTGAACCCTGGGAATCCCGTCTTGGAAAACGTCTAACGGACAACGTCGACGATCTGCGGGCCTGGCGCCTGTCGATCTGCTGACGCAACTGGCGCTGCAGCCTGAGGATAAAAGAAACCGCGAATCGATGGAGAAACTCTGTTGATGTTATCCAAACTCTGTTTATGGCCCATAGAAATGATGGTTAATAATGGTTAATCAGTGCTAATAATGGTTAATAATGGTTAATCTATGTATATCTGGTTGGTGGTTAAAAAAACCATCTTGAAAAATGACGGAGTTCGTCGATGGGAAGGATGACATCCCATATATGACATGGAAAATAAAAGCCATGTTTGAAACCACCAACGTATATATATATATATACATGTGTGTGTGTGTTTGAAATATGTATCTAGACAAATATGTGTGGTGTATTCATTTTATATCAGTATACCCATTTTGGAATTTGAGATTGTTTTTTAAAGATTTTTCCGGGACATGGATCCAAAGATCCAATGGCCAGGTTTGTCTCAGGGATCTAGCCTTTAAAATATGGCAGTTTGATTAAGGAAAACTATCACCATCATGAACCAGTAGATCCTGAGGGTATACACTCCATTTGATTACATTTTGGGGACAAATCCTTTGATTGTCCCTCTCCCACTTTGATAGTTGACCATGGTTTTAAAAAGGGGGATGCTCCTCAAAGCACAATTTCTATCCTAGATACCCTGCAAAGCAAAGTCAGCGACCTTGACTTTTAGTTGTTTAAAGTCTGTTTTCCCATGCAAAGCAATGGCAAAACTACGGGACATTGACAAACCATAAAAAACAATATTCAAGTAGCCATGGATTTTATGGCTCAGTCGTCTAGTTGTTTCTTGCTCGAAGCCCCTATATGTTGATAGGTTATGACCTCATGTATTGACACTCTTGATGGGATGATTAGTAACTGGAGAAACTATCCCTTGCTACATCCCTAAGAGGTGATAATCCACCAAGGGAACCTAGCTGAGCATCCCCAATGACCCACCAACATCTAAGCATTAGGTACCCAATTCCATCCACTGCTTCATCATCCCTGTTCAAAAAGACACTGTCATATATTAGATGATACATACATGTACACATACACATACACATACACAATACACATACACATCCACACCCATATACATATACATATACAAAAACATGTATATATATATACATATAAAGACATACATATATATATATAATTATATATATATGGGTTATATTAATCCCCCCAAGATCGCTGTTCTTTTCCCATACGACATCCCCATTGTTCAATGGCGACACGACCCAACTCCAGGGCTGACAAAGCTGGGGATGATTCACCAATGGATTCAAAGCACATATCCCATGAAATATACCCTCTGGTAAACTAACAGTTTGCTATTGAAAATTGCCATTTATAGTGGATTTACCCATTAAAAATGGTGGTTTTCCATAGTTATGTTAGTTTACCAGAGGGTACATGGAAAACACATCGTGTAAAAACACATCCCAACAGCCCAACAACATTTCCGATAGATCTCCATTTATAGTGATCCTCCATCCCCAAGACGTGGTTCTTCCAGAAACGGCAGGTCCCCTGGCAGGCGCCGCGCCTGGCATATTGCGGCAGCAAAAAGAGCATTAGCAGAGCCGTGACCAGGGCGCAGACCCAGGGCCTTCCGGTGCAAAACGATGTTCGGTGGGAAATTTCAGGGGGAAAATGACGCCAACAACGGAGGTTGTTCACCAGCGGTTCAGAACTGAATGTCAGCTGCAAAAAACTGGTGATTTCGTAGTGATTTCACTTAGATTGAACATGAATTAAGATGATCAATGATTTAAGTAGCAAACATGTTGATTTCAGCAATTGGATTAGGAAATTTTCACCCGTAAACCCGGCCAACATGGAGGAGTTGACTGACCATCATTTCAGCCTGCTACACGCCACCCCAAACATCCTCAAAATGGGGTTGTATTGGATATCCGCCGACCCCGGCCTTCGCCAAGGCCGGGGCGGCGCCTGGGACCACCGCAGGTGTGGAACTTTTCCAACACGCCCAGCACGCAAAAGCTACCACAAGGCCACAGCAATGGCTCAAGGGCACCTTCCGGCCGCAGCAATGGCTTCTTATAGGCGTTCAAGGCTGCCGTTTGCCAGGCCTCAAACCCTCCAAAACCCTCCAAACGCTCCAAAAGTCCGCATAGCTCCGCAGGGAAAAGGTACCCCAACAAGCCCAACACGCGCCACTCCCGCACGCAAAAGCCACCACAAGGCCACAGCAATGGCTCAAGGGCACCTTCCGGCCGCAGCAATGGCTTCTTATAGGCGTTCAAGGCTGCCGTTTGCCAGGCCTCAAACCCTCCAAAACCCTCCAAAAGTTCGCATAGCTCCGCAGGGACAAGGTACCCCAACAAGCCCAACACGCGCCACTCCCGCACGCAAAAGCCACCATAAGGCCACAGCAATGGCTCAAGGGCACCTTCCGGCCGCAGCAATGGCTTCTTATAGGCGTTCAAGGCTGCCGTTTGCCAGGCCTCAAACCCTCCAAAACCCTCCAAACGCTCCAAAACCCTCCAAACGCTCCAAAAGTTCGCATAGCTCCGCAGGGACAAGGTACCCCAACAAGCCCAACACGCGCCACTCCCGCACGCAAAAGCCACCACAAGGCCACAGCAATGGCTCAAGGGCACCTTCCGGCCGCAGCAATGGCTTCTTATAGGCGTTCAAGGCTCCGTTTGCCAGGCCTCAAACCCTCCAAAACCCTGCAAACGCTCCAAAAGTTCGCATAGCTCCGCAGGGACAAGGTACCCCAACAAGCCCAACACGCGCCACTTCCGCACGCAAAAGCCACCACAAGGCCACAGCAATGGCTCAAGGGCACCTTCCGGCCGCAGCAATGGCTTCTTATAGGCGTTCAAGGCTGCCGTTTGCCAGGCCTCAAACCCTCCAAACGCTCCGAAACCCTCCAAACGCTCCAAAAGTTCGCATAGCTCCGCAGGGACAAGGTACCCCAACAAGCCTAACCAAACCCTCCAAAACCCTCCAAACGCAAGGGCACCTTCCGGCCGCAGCAATAGCTTCTTATAGGTGTTCAAGGCTGCCGTTTGCCAGGCCTCAAACCCTCCAAAACCCTCCAAACGCTCCAAAAGTTCGCATAGCTCCGCAGGGACAAGGTACCCCAACAAGCCCAACACGCGCCACTCCCGCACGCAAAAGCCACCACAAGGCCACAGCAATGGCTCAAGGGCAGCTTCCGGCCGCAGCAATGGCTTCTTATAGGCGAAGGCTGCCGTTTGCCAGGCCTCAAACCCTCCAAAACCCTCCAAACGCTCCAAAAGTTCGCATAGTTCCGCAGGGACAAGGTACCCCAACAAGCCCAACACGCGCCACTCCCGCACGCAAAAGCCACCACAAGGCCACAGCAATGGCTCAAGGCACCCCACGGCCGCAGCAATGGCTTCTTATACGCGTTCAAGGCTGCCGTTTGCCAGGCCTCAAACGCTCCAAAACCCCCCAAAACCCTCCAAACCCTCCAAACCCTCCAAAAGTCCGGCCAGCTCCGCAGGGAAAAGGCACCCCAACAAGCCCAACACGCGCCACTGCCGCACGCAAAAGCCACCACAAGGCCACAGCAATGGCTCAAGGGCACCCCACGGCCGCAGCAATGGCTTCTTATAGGCGTTTCAGGCTGCCGTTTGCCAGGCCTCAAACCCTCCAAACCCCCCAAATCCTCCAAAAGTTTTCGCGCCTCTATTGTTCGGGATAGGCTACTTACTAGATGAATGATCGATGTAGGACGGGGTTAGAGAACAGCCTCTCCACATTAATGCTACTCTGCTCCTCCTTTCCCCCTTTCCCCCAAACGAGCCCAACACGCGCCACTCCCGCACGCAAAGCCACCTACACGGCCAACCAAATGGCTTAAATGGCACCTTCCGGCGCAGCATGGCTTTTACTAGGCGTTCAAGGCTGCCTTTGCCCAGGCCTCACACCCTCCAAAACCCTCCAAACGCTCAAAAAACCCTCCAACGCTCCCAAAAGTTCGCATAGCTCCGCAGGGACAAGGTACCCCAACACGCCCAACACGCGCCACTCCCGCACGCAAAAGCCACCACAAGGCCACAGCAATGGCTCAAGGGCACCTTCCGGCCGCAGCAATGGCTTCTTATAGGCGTTCAAGGCTGCCGTTTGCCAGGCCTCAAACCCTCCAAACCCCTCCAAACGCTCCAAAAGTTCGCATAGTTCCGCAGGGACAAGGTACCCCAACAAGCCCAACACGCGCCACTCCCGCACGCAAAAGCCACCACAAGGCCACAGCAATGGCTCAAGGGCACCTTCCGGCCGCAGCAATGGCTTCTTATAGCCGTTCAAGGCTGCCGTTTGCCAGGCCTCAAACCCTCCAAAACCCTCCAAACGCTCCAAAAGTGTGCATAGTTTCCGCATGGACAAGGTACCCCAACAAGGCCCACACGCGCCAACTCCCGCCGCAAGAAAGCCACACAAGGCCACAGCAATGGCTCAAGGGCACTTCCGGCCGCAGCCATGGCTTCTTATAGGCGTTCAAGGCTGCCGTTTTCCAGGCCTCAAACCCTCCAAAACCCTCCAAAACGCCCCAAAACCCTCAAAACGCTCGCAAAAGTTCCATAGCTCCGCAGGGAACAAGGTACCCCACAAGCCCACACGCGCCCCTCCCGCACGCAAAAAAGTCCCGCCACAAGTCCACACAATTGGCTCAAGGGCACCTTCCGGCCGCAGCAATGGCTTCTTATAGGCGTTCAAGGCTGCCGTTTGCCAGGCCTCAAACCCTCCAAAACCCTCCAAACGCTCCAAAACCCTCCAAACGCTCCAAAAGTTCGCATAGCTCCGCAGGGACAAAGTACCCCAACAAGCCCAACACGCGCCACTCCCGCACGCAAAAGCCACCACAAGGCCACAGCAATGGCTCAAGGGCACCTTCCGGCCGCAGCAATGGCTTCTTATAGGCGTTCAAGGCTGCCGTTTGCCAGGCCTCAACCCCCCCAAAACCCTCCAAACGCTCCAAAAGTTCGCATAGCTCCGCAGGGACAAGGTACCCCAACAAGCCCAAACCAAAAACCCTCCAAAACCCTCCAAACGCTCCAAAAGTTCGCGCAATAGCCTCCGCAGGGACAATTAACCCCAACAAGCCCACACGCCCACTCCCTCACCGCAAAAGCCACTCACAATGCCCAGCAATGGCTCAAGGGCACCTTCCGGCCGCGCAATGGCTTCTTCATAGGCGTTCAAGGCTGCCGTTTGCCAGGGCCTCAAAACCCTCCAAAACCCTCCAAACGCTCCAAAAGTTCGCATAGCTCCGCAGGGAACAATGTACCCCAACAAGCCCAACACGCGCCACTGCCGCACGCCAAAGCCACCACAAGGCCACAGCAATGGCTCAAGGGCACCCCACGGCCGCAGCAATGGCTTCTTATACGCGTTCAAGGCTGCCGTTTGCCAGGCCTCAAACGCTCCAAAACCCTCCAAAAACCCTCCAAACCCTCCAAAAGTCCGGCCAGCTCCGCAGGGAAAAGGTACCCCAACAAGCCCAACACGCGCCACTGCCGCACGCAAAAGCCACCACAAGGCCCCAGCAATGGCTCAAGGGCACCCCACGGCCGCAGCAATGGCTTCTTATACGCGTTCAAGGCTGCCGTTTGCCAGGCCTCAAACGCTCCAAAACCCTCAAAACCCTCCAAACCCTCCAAAAGTCCGGCCAGCTCCGCAAGGAAAAGGTACCCCAACAAGCCCAACACGCGCCACTCCCGCACGCAAAAGCCACCACAAGGCCACAGCAATGGCTCAAGGGCACCTTCCGGCCGCAGCAATGGCTTCTTATAGGCGTTCAAGGCTGCCGTTTGCCAGCCCCGGCATTGTCCTTTTATGGTGGTTCAAGCCTGCCGTTTGCCAGCCCGCAAAACCCCCCAAATGCTTCCCTGCAGCTCCCATGCCATTTGCCAGCCCCGGCATTGTCCTTTTATGGTGGTTCAAGCCTGCCGTTTGCCAGCCCGCAAAAGGCGATGATGAGGCGCCACAACTCGTGGCCCTGGCGCGGCAAGCTCAGCAGCTTCCGGAGATCAGTACCCTTGATTATCCCTGAGTTTCAAAATCAATGATACTCTACCACCAATCATACAATGATAGGAGGCCAAATATGCTTAAAAATATGAACTGAGGTCTGACTTCAAATTTGTAGCGTCATACTCATTGCATACACATTGCACCTTGTGATTGAATTGCGGCATGTTGGGGCATATCAAAACATATATGTCCATGTCTGTCCCACCATGTACCACCATCGACCTCAGCACGGCCCGCCGGAAGCGACGCGCCACTGACCCACTGAACCGCTGATGCCGTCGGATGCCGTCGGAGTATCTATCTCTCCCTCTCTATCTATCTATCTATCTCTCCCTCTCTATCTTTCTCTCCCCCTCTATCTATCTCTCCCTCTCTATCTATCTATCCATCTATCTATCCATCCAGCTATCTATCCATCTATCTCTCCATCTACTTATCTGTCTATCCAACTGTCTATCTATCTATCTGTCTATCTCTCTCTCTCTCTATCTCTCTACCTATCTATCCATCCATCCATCCATCCATCCATCTATCTATCTCTCTCCCTCTCTCTGCAGGACCCCCCAAATAGGGGGGGTCGGCGGCACCCGGGCGCTAGCCCATTCTATTATTGGATCGATTACCCGGCCTGGTAAACTAACAGTTTGCGACATAGAAAATGGCTATAGAAATAGTGAGTTTTCCTAAAAATGGTGATTTTCCGTGGTCTTTTGTATGTTTACCAGAGGGTACTAATATCCAAATGGAAATACAACCCATTTGGGGTGATTGTGGGAATATTGGAATGGCTGATCCGCTGAAACATTCATCATCCCGGATCAACAGCAACGTATCACCGTGGCATGACCCTAGATAATTGCTGAGAAAAATGGGTTTAAGTTTAAGCAAGAACCAATGGAAATATGCAATCTAAGCGTAATCAAGAGTTCCACCAGGTTGATTTTCGCAATCTCTTGCGATTTGAAGATTCTTTTCGCCTTTCACAATCTCGGTTTGTGGATATGTGTGGATCAAAATTGAATCAAAAACCCAGGCCGTGTTTTCGCACATCATGGCCGAGCCCTGCCGGGCTCGGCACCAGCATGCGTCGCTTCCATGGGGCCCGGTGTTGCCAGCTGTGATGTAGTCCCAGCTGATAGGGTGGTCCCTGGTGCCAGATGTGGGGTGCAGGGAAGGCTTGCGATGTGGAAAAACCTGCAGAAAAACCCCTGGAAAATCTGGAAATGATCTAAAAATGATGGGTAAACTCCACATCTAATTAGATCATATTACATCTATCTTAGTTTACGGCAGGGTACCTATGGGTGATTTGGCGGTTCATTGTCCAAAAAGATCCTATACCCCCCAGCAGAAATGGTGATAGGCAGCAGAAGTGGCCGCGACCAAAAACAAATAATAATGGGTTAGCCAATGCATAGGAATAGGGGCCATAAGCTGGCAAACCACACCACAAGTGGTTTCAGTTGTATGGGGTGGAAAAAAAAGTCCTGCTTTTCATCAACCATCTATGGGTGGAACGAATGGATTTTGCTCAACTGGTGTCAGTCCAATAAATCAATAGATGTTCATAAACTACCAGTAATTAACGCTAGATTAATCAACGTTAGGTAGATTTAATAATCCAATAAATCCATAGATTAATAAATCCATAGATGAATAAACTAGATTACCCTCTGGTAATTTCACATAGCTATGGAAAATCCACCCATTTTTCATGGGAAAATCCACTATAAATGGCCATGTTCAATAGCTTTTTGTATGTTTACCAGGCCGGGTAACCGATGTTTGGAGCTCAACCGTGGGAAATCCCAGCCAGGCCTTAGCCATGTTTGACACCAGAGGGTCGCCACTAAGAAGTGAACCCCGTAAATTCTGAGTCCTATCCCATAAAAGTGTCACTTCTTCATATGGAATCAATTGGATGAATATATACATAATATATATATATATGTGTATATATATACATACATATATATACATATAGATATATAATTATGTATATATAATATATATAAATATCTATTCCCCATAGTTTCTTAGTTATTTGTTGCTTAACCATGGGATTTACTAGGCCACGGGCTCCGCTGCCTCTTGGTATGGCTGTGATTTCTCCAGCTCTCAAGCGCCTCCTCCTGGGATCATCGGAGATCATCGGGACATCATCGATGTACATGGAGTACAATGTATATGTATATATATACATATATATGGGTAAATTACAATATTTCACTAACCTGAATTAAGGCTATCTTGGGGATGATTTCCCTTACTAACCATGATTCCAGTGAGGTCGCAGTGAGGTCGTTATAATTTTCCTAGATTATGTATATAATTATATATATATACATGGCAGTGTGTCAAAACCATGTACCCCTGGTGAACCCCAAAATAGCTGGTAAATGGATGTTCATCCCCCTAATAAACTGTATCTATAGGTATTGATCCATAGCCATATATCCAAAAAGATGCTGAAAAGTGTGAAACCAGAAAGTTCGATGATATTTACTGAACATGTCGTCCAGTGTTCCCACCTTTCGATCTGTTTTGGGGCTGACTTTCTCCAAATGATGTCTCAGTGTAACCCATCAAGAGAATTCTCGGAAAGTCAATGAAAAAAGGGCAATTTTTGTGGAGCCCATATAGTAAATGAGTAGCATGAAGAGAGTGAAGTCATGTTTTATCTATATATTATCTATCACATATTTATATATATATATATAATTCCCCTGTGAAATGTTGCCCTATGGGGTGCCTCTTGTAAGTGGCTTCTAACTAAGGATTGTCTTAAGCCAACGGGAAATTACACCAATTTCTTACAGCAATGGAATGGGGTCATGTTGCTTTGATGGGTGGATAGCCAATGAAAAAAGGCAGGGGCCATCCCCAACCCTTGGCTGCTTGCGACTAAGACTGTTTATTTTGATCCCACCGAAATCTTGGTTTACCCATTTCCACATGGTCCCAGAAATCATTCTCCAACAGCACAGACTGGTAAACTCTGCATTCCAAGTGTCTGGAAAGGAGCGAAAAACAAAGTAGCTGGGCAATTGCAGGGCAAAGAGCACCACGCAGAGAATGCCCAAGAAGCGTACCTTAGAAATGCATTCTGCTTAGAAATGCTATGGAAAACCCCACGTTCAATCATGTTCATACCCTCTGGTAAACTAACAGTTTTCTATTGAAAATTGTCATTTATAGTGAGTTTTCCCATAAAAAATGGGTGGATTTTCCATAGCTATGTAAACGTTTACCAGAGGGTAGGTAAATCATTGAACTAAAGGGTCCGTGGCTTCCATGGCTATGTATTTGATAATCTTTCAGGCCCCCTTCTTTGATCATCTCAAAAGTTACGTAAAAATTGGGCCACTTACTGATATCACTAATATGTCAAACTTGTAGAAATCCTGAGATAGCTCGAGATTTCTACCTTCCCCTACACTGTTTCTGTGAATCTCAAGTAGTCTTTCATCATACTTTATAACTTGAAAACCCTCCTCCGGGATTTTTTTGGGCCCTTCCATTTAGCATGCGTCCTTCCATAAAATCGCATCATTTCGAGAAGGGAGGGGTTTGACATCCATTGGGAGAAAATGATGACCTCCCGCAAAAAAGTATCCGTAAATCCAACATTAAAAATCAGTGGTAAATGCCTGTAAGTCCTCATTGTTCCTCATATCTATCCATACATTTCCCAGTTTCTTGTCTCATCTTGTCTCCCTCCAAGTCATTCGCCGTCCAAG